AACCATAAAGATGTTGAAAGATACATAATAATAGGTCACTGGTAATTGTGTTTGAGGTAGAACTTGCATATGAAGGATGTCCAGAAGGAGTGTTTGCGAGACTATTCCATAATGAAGATATCAAAGTTCATGCTTGATCACAAGTAGAAGGCTTAAGGCACTATCGGTGACTACATAGGCCTATGAACCATTTGCTTCACAAAAACCAACTAGAATGTATAGTAGTTATTATGTGACAGATCTTCAAATTCTTCCACATGTATTGACTTGTAGCAACATTGCTTCTCAGAGACCTTAAAGCTAGAAAAGGAGGTGATGTCATAGACATACAATTGAAGAAGATTCTAGAAGATTTTAAGAAAGTTCTTGTAGATCTTAAAAGATTCTAGAAGATTCTAAAAGGTTCGAGTAGATTCTAAGAAAGTTCTAGAAGAGGATAGGAGATCCTAGAAGGTTCTAGGAGGCTTTAGATGATTTAGAAAGTTGCCGAAGAAGGATCTTGGACTTGCTTTGTTTCCAAGCCTCATGGAAACTTCTCAAGAATCTTCTTAGGACCTAATATATATAGGAATCAAGGCTGAGGGGATCCTCAGTCTCGACAATTTATTTCTTGTAGTCTAGTTAGAACTTTTTGCCTTGTAACTAATTATTGTTCTAATGCCAAGCTAACTCTATTTCTTGATCTTGAATCCTTATCTTGTATATGGTTCCTAACAAGATATGGTTACTTCATCAAAATGTTAATATGTACTAAAGATAACTTTTCTTATCATGAGCTTTTTTAATATATAATTACCACTTCTTGTAGAATTTGTCTCAAGAAAAAAGAGATAATTTTATAAATATATATATTTAATTTAATAATTACCAAAAATAAATAAATATTATAATATATTGAAAAGATGGATTTTAGAAGCTTTATAAATATAGTTGTATTATGTGTATTTTTACTTTAGAATACACTAGATACCTATTTATAGAAGATAATTAGAAATGTAATAACAATCTTATAAATTTTAATATAGTCCTTAATAAATTTGAAGTAATCTTTAATAATTGAAATCAAACTTTAACCAAAATAAAGTTAAATTAAAAGAAATAATAAAAGAAATACAAAGAAGATTTAAAATAATTTTAAAAAATTAAATTATAAAATATAAAAATATATAAAAATATAAAAATAATAATAATATTTTTAAAATATTAAAGAAAGAGTTTTTAAGAATAGTAAATAATCCTAAAAAAATATTTAAAATAGATATCTTAAATAAATTCTAAGTAAATCCTAATCCATTCCTAATGAACCTCAATCAAATCTTAGATCAAATCCTAATTGATATCCTCATATAATCTTAAATCCTTATTAAATCCTAATCAAATCCTTATTAAATCCTAAACCTAACCAAAATCTAAATCTTAGACCAATTCTAAAAAAATCCAAAGTAAATTTTAATCAATTACCATAGTTGTTTGAAACTTCAATAAATATTAATTAAACCATAGATTTTGACTAAAATTTCATTCAAACTTCAATCAATAAGTAATTAAAAAATACATAAAATTTGAAAAGAATTGAACTTACTAATTATAAGAAAAAATCCTAAAAATTCTCAATTCTTGGCCGCCTTCTTTTTTCAACTTGAATATTGATCTTTCAACAAAGGTCTCTCCTTGCTAAATCATTTAATTACTTCAAAAATTGGATTTTGTACAGTTATTTTGGTCTTAATTGATGTCACCAATTTTTGCTTCAATGGAACTAGCAAATATTACAAAATTGCAAAATCTCTCATTGATCCTAAATTTTAATTATCTAAGACCATAATCCACATAAACTCTCAAATTTTTCAATTTAAACACTTAATTGATTTTAAATTTCTTACACATTCAAAAAAAGTACAAAAAATAAATTATAAAATTTTCATTTATAAACATGCTATGAAACTCTCAAAATCTTGAAATTGATAAACTCACAAAATCTTTTTTTTTTTTTTTTTTCACTATATCTTTCTATTAGGTTATTCTATAATAACATCCTTATTTTTATTTTTTTATTATATAGTTGTGTTACTACATGATAATGTGGATTTACCTTTATATACCTATAGATGATTGATAGGTTGAAAACTTGGCCAACAAGTTAGCCACACGCCTCACATGTTGGCTACTTGTTATATAAATTAAAGATATGGTGCACATATAAAAAAACTTGTCTTGAAAATTAGATTTATATTATGTAAGTTGGATATGTGTTGGACGTCTTATAAAATATTGTCATGTAACTCTTAGTTAGATAGTTATATGTAGAGTCAATAATAAGGCCTTATTTACTCTTATTATTTCATTTCTTACTTCTAATTTAGTATTCTTCTCATTTGACAATAGTCATTATAGTTTCTTCTTAAACATACAAATATATATATATATATATATATATATATATTTATATATATATAAATTTATAATATTTTTTTAAAAAATATCTCATTTATTTATTAATATTCTTTGAGTTCTTGTCTTTGTCACAAAGTTATTCAATTCAAGGTTAGAATAGTGTATCCATAGGAATATAAGATTTTATTGTATTTTTATTTTTTTCGTAGTTCTTTGTCTAATATAAAATTGAGCTATTTTATTATGAATTCTTTAAATATACCTTTTTTCTAAAGCTACTAATATAATTCAAAAATTGATATGTTAGTTCAAAAAAGATTTTATTTATGGTTTTGATTATATTACACAAATACGTTTTAGTATAATGTATTATTATCACTTCATAAAAATATTGTATAAAATTATTGAATTGATAAATCACCATTGATTTTCTATTTGAAGTATTATTTTACATATCATAAACTACAAAGGTTTTGTGTTTCTTATCTTTTTTATCAATATTTTAGCTTTATAAAATAATTATATATATATATATAATAACATCTTTTGAAAATATTTTTGTATAATTCAAGATGTTATCAATTTTGTATAGTTCGGACCATAGAACTCTAAAAAATACTAGACATTGTTAAGAAAATTCTATAATATTTGACTTATTATAATTATTATTAAAAATTATAATGGTTTTAAAATATTTATTAATGATAAAAAAAAATCTATTTCAGATTTTTATAGATGTTTTAGGGCCTTATTTACATGTCTTAAGTTTATTTATTTTGAAATATAAATATATATCAATAAAATGTATCAATGATCTAATTTCTAAAAGTTTTAACACATATTTTTAAATCAGTAATCTTGGTTTGTATTTTTGATACAAATAAATATAAAGATGACCAGTATTACATCATAAATAATATTAATTTAAGTTATGCAGAAGGATATTTCAAAATAATTATATAACATCAATGAGGGTTAGCTGCATTCTTTCACATAATTTGTATTACCTACAATAGTTCTATATAGAGTTATTAGTAGAAAAAATTATTAAACAAATCTTTTTAAAATTAACTAAAAAGTCAAGAAGAACAATAAATCTCCAAAGTGATACTTTAAATTTGTAGCAATATATATATATATATATAAACAAAAAGGAACCTCATTCAAAGATAATGATAAAAAAATTATGCTTCACTAAAGATGGTAGTCATAAAAGAGGACAATATAGCTGCTAATTTTGAAGGAAAAAAAAAAAAAAAAAACAAGTTATACATATAATTGTTGATTTTAAAAAGAGCTTTAATTCTTTAAAGTTCATTAAAATAAAATAAATAGATATCACATTGAAATGTACAAGCAAAACAAATAAAATGAACTTCTTGTTATTTATATAGGATGAAACTAAGAAAAATGTAAATATTTTAACTAATTCTAAAATACTTTGTAGATTTTTAAATGTATTTGTTTATTTACTTTTTAATGTTTGATTTTCTTCAACACATGATTTTATATATATATATATATATATATATATAGTTTCATAAAAATATTAAATTTAGGGAAATGATAAAGTGACCCAATTTTTTTCTAAATAAACCCAAAGTTTAAACTATCATTATATCCTTTCAAGCTTGTTTTCATTCCTAGCCATTCCCCTATTCCCAATTGGTGCTCTTGTTCCCAATTCCCCACCCCCTTTTTTTAGCAATGGTTGAGAACGGGGAATGGCTGGGAATAGGGATGAAGCTGCAAGGATGCAATGATGGTTAAGATAGAGTGGATCACTTCAGTAAAAATTTGGGTTTCTTTATTATTCCCCTAAATTTATTTTCCTATTTCACTAATTTGGATAGAATCATAAATTTCACATGCACTCACACACGTGTGTATATTTGTCATGTTTTCTACAAACCCATTTAATTATTATAATTATTATTATAATAAAAGGGGCAGTGTTTATATTTTCATCAGTACAATCTCAAGAAGAATCACTCATGCTGGGGTCGGAGATAGGCCCCCGTGCGGACGGCCCGCCCTAACCCGGAGAGGCTCCTACATCCGAGTGCGGACGTCACCGACGACACGTCAGAATGATGAGCTGGACCAAGTGGGGAGCTTAGCTGGCATCGAGATCGGGGAGTCAGCCCGCGTGGAGGGAGAGAGACAGGAGGGACAGTGTGAACGCAAAAGATACCGATCCATAAAGGGACCCCAACTTACGAGGATCTTATGCAGTTCAATTCTTCAGGTCCCCTCGTTTTTTTGTCCAACGAATCCTGAAAGCATTAGAGTGGGAGAGACTTCCGGGATCTCGAGGGGAACGTCCCGTTCCCATCCCCGCGTTCGCATCCGCCTTTAACCTGTGTGTGCCAGATAACCTGCACTCCGAAGTGGGCTTGCTGGTTGGAGGACTGGTTACGGATGGATGAATAATATGATAGATGAATAGGGGTATGGATGAATGTGATGACATGGGTAGACAGAGAGGAAGGTGCGGTGCCTTGAGGATGTGGAGTTAAATTTCGACGAATGAATGAACTTATGGATGAAGTGTGATTGGATGGATGAGAGAGAGAGCTTTGAGGACGGTGGGAGAAGAGGGTGTGTGGCGAGGCAGCTTGAGCTCTCTCTCACACAGCACTTCGGGGATGGCGCACTATCTGGCGATGTTTTACGGCGTCTGATGTGTGAGCTATGGGGATTTGGACCGGGATTTGAAGCTTGGAGGCAGTGTGAGCGGTTTTTTTGGAGGCGGAGTGTATTTTTTGGCGTCGGAATCGGTGGATTGTGGACGGAGGACGGGAAATGAGAGGCGATGGGAGACATGCGGTGTGGGAAGGAGCGTGGGGGAGGTAAAGCAGGTGAGGAGCAGCGGTGCGAGAGGGGCAAGGAAAGGCGAGAGAGCAGTAGAGGAGGTTTAGTTTGAGAAAGAGTGTACTCTCGTGGTTTTGAGGATGGTTGGAGGTATTGACCAGGTGATTGAAGGGGAGGGGCTCTATGGTGTAATGAGGAGTAGCTAGGGTTTGGTCATGGTGTAGGGCAGGCAGTAGCGCTTGGGATTGAGAGCGAGGGCGTGGCGTTCTCGTGGATGTTGCTTGGATGGAGTCGGGTGGACGTCGATCCGAAGCGCGCTCCCGGCTACACAGAGGTAGGCTAGGGTTGGGACTCGGGAGCACTGTTTGACTGGGCATGTGGAAGGAATTTTTTTAAGCTGCTTGAGACGGGACAGGGGCAGAGCTGATGCGAAGGGAACTCGGGAAATTAAGGCCAGCTTTTTTGTGGAGTTGGGGTCAAATTCGTCTATGAAAGCGTAATTTGAAGGAGTATTCTTAGATAGCCCGCTCCTTTGAGTTGAAAAATTTATTACTTTCACTAATTGCGTACTTTTTATTAACTTGCAAAAAGTTGATCCGCGCAAGTGATTAGTTTGATCTCTCGCGCTCGCACTCTCTCTCTATCTCTCGGTCTGGAACTTCCGCATTTAAGAATGTAAGGTTACATCATTACCGCAGTCAGTTTGAATGCTGGGATTAGCCAACCTGGCCTTGACTGTAGGAATTGGGTGTCCTCAGCTCGAGTTTGATCGGGCGTCGTTACTAGTATTGGACATTTTCATGTTAACCCAAAACTACTCAGTTACAGCTTTGTAACGCAATGTCCTTACAGTGTTGCAGGTTCGACACTGCAGCATTTTCTTTTCTTCTAGTGGGACACCTTTCACATGCCCAATACTGAGAAAGCTTATTTTCAACAGTTCTAATGCAGATGTGTAGACTAGACTGATTTAGGTTGGTTAGTTTATGCATTTTAGCCAGTAATGTTAGTGTCGGTTACATGTTAGGTGGGGGGAGTTACAAAATGGTCGATTGCTGGAATTCTGGAGGCGACATCAAGACACAGCTCAACCGTGTATCTTCACCCACTGGGCTAGTTGGAGAGGGAAGTGGGATAAGTCTCACTGAGCTCGAGAGATCATCGTCTTCAGCGAATGAGATGGTCAGCCCTTCGGATGTTGTACTTGTTGGGCGATCTTTGTCGAGACGGCCAAAGAGGAGCCTGAAAGCGTCTATATGGTTGAAGTTGACTCTGTTCATTGGCACACTGGTGTGAAACCTATCGATGATTGTTTTATTTTATGATTTTTTAAATTTCAGTTTAATGTATAACAACTCTAGTTTTTGGCACATCAAGTCAGTTGTCGTGTATCGGGCTTTGACCTGCACATTTTTGACGAAAACAGTAGAATTTTCTTTGAATTTGTAGCGACCACTTGATGCTATTTTCTGTATTTTCAATTCGGCTTTTGTTATGCATTGACGTTCCATGTTTGAATATGTGTGCTGCAGGTGGTGGTGACAGGGGGTGTATTGTCTCTGGTAATGTGGTTTAATTCCCGAGCCCAGCTTGTGCACGAAATAGAAAGACGGCTTACCACAGTAGCTGTTCTTAGGACAGAACAGCTGCAAGATTACCTCAATGGTGAGATTGACAAAATGCAGCTGATTGCTACAAGGGTGCAGATAATCAACTATTTAGCAAGTCGAGCGAATGTAAATGAATCCACTGCAATAAGGGATTTAAGTTCAGCTGTTGCAGTAGTATCGGAGTTCATGAGTGCAGCTATCTACAACAGCACAGGATCTTTGATGCTGTCAACCAATATTGCGGAGTATGATCCAATGTTAAGCGCATCGACACTCAAATTGGTGCAGACGGATGTACATTTCGATATGCCAGTATCTACACCAGATGGTTGGAAATACTTGGTGGCAAGAAATATCACCATGGTAGGTTCACTAGAGTCTCCATCTTGCAATTTGTTCCTGTGTTGTATGATAATCCTTGTATCCTTGGTCTTTTCGGACATGCCTCCTTAGAATCATGCATCGACAAAGTAATTTTGTTGCTTACCAGTTTTATCGTGTTTCTCTCAAATTGTAAAGCCTTTTTTACTTCTTACCTTTTCTAAAGCATTCACGTAGTATTTTAGAGATATATTTCTAGATGAATGAGCGTAATGTATAGATTTGAGGAATTAGTGTGGTGACTTATATAGGATCTATCTATAGGTACTATTCTACGTTTTCTATGCATGTAATTGAATAGAACAAGATTTTATAAGTACATCGGCTTAGTAGCCCATGTCTTGTGATCTATTTTCCTCCCTTAAGCTTAACAAACATACTATTTGTTCTAGAGGGCCTTGGCATAGATATCAAGAGAGTAGAAATATCGAAGTGAAACCTTATAAAAATAGAGTTCAAGGGTAATCACAAACGATTTTGCTACAGATTACTGGCTTTTTAGATATTTTCAAGTTGTAATTTCGCGATTTCAAATGCACACTCCGAACACCCCCACTTCTCTTCTCTTTTTTTCCTCCTCTACGTACCAGCCTCTGCAGCGTATTTTTTCCTCGGTTCTTCATGTGGTTCCCTAGTGATATATTTTGTAGTTTGCATCACCCGCTCTGCAGGCCTTTAGTACTCCATGTTTGCTTTAACACCAACCTCATTACTGAGTAGGGTTGTACATCTGAATGCTGCAATTACTTTTTGGTAATTTATACACCTGTTTAATGCTACTAACCATCAATGTTAATTTTCCTCCGGAAGTTTTTTTTACATATCTTAGATGATTAGTGTTCTTGCTGCGTTTGAGTTTTTTTACCTAGCTAAGTGTGGTTTTTAAACCATGTCGAACCGGAAATAAAATTAAGCTGATTGAGAAATAGACGTACCGCACGTAATCTCACTCATCAATAAGCATATTTAGCACATAATTTGACCATTGATAGTACTGATTGGTTGATAAATCTCTGCAATGTCATGCAATTACATAGATTAAGTTTTTGCGTAGCCACGTCATTGGCATATTGAGTACGTAGTTCAAGTAAGGTTTTTTATTTCGAAAACATTTCAACGTTCACTGCGCATACGATGTTTTCAGTTCCTTTTCAGTTTTCGGCTAGCGCATTAAGTCCCCTTTTGTTGTGTTTCTGTTCAGAAGAATTCAAGTATAGTTGGAGTATTGGTTGCATGGGTCAATGCCTCTAGACTAGAGAAATTGGTGACCGATAGAACGGGTCTCCAAAATACTGGAGAGCTTGTAGTTGGAGTTCCAGAAGGCGACGGAGTGCATCTGGTACTTCCACCATCACTTGCTAGTTCTGTAAAGAACATTCCTCTCAATGGTGCTATAAAACTTGCCTGTGTATTCGGGCTGAATGGAACATTGATTGAAAAGGACTATCGAAGACAAAAGGTCATTGTGGCTTACACACCTGTTGGGTATCAAAACTGGGGTATGGCGCTCAACTATTTGTTTCTATGCAACTTGTTTTTGTTGAAGCCACTTTCCAGGTCTATCATGAACTTCACTTTTCTGCTCAAACAATTATTATTTGTTGAATGATTTTTCCAGATCACAGTACATTTGGTTTAAGTTAGTAGCTGAACCGTATATGAGTCAATTTTTTGAGTTGACTGCAGCTTGTTACGTAGTCATTTACTTGAGATTGTTGGTGCTTTCACATACATGTCAACATATCTATTTAGGAAACCAGCTTTTCATGATTGTATTCATGGCGAATGTGTTCCGTACAATTGTGGTCATATTGCCGAGGTCTTGGACGTGTGAAGCTTTTGGTTGACTTGTTCTGTATGGCTGCCAGGATTGCTTGCAAAAATGAGCGAGGAGGAAGCATTCAAACCAGTACAGAAAGTTCGCATTGTGATTATCGTAGCTATGATAATTATTTTGCTCGTGGGAGTTCTGGCATCTCTTGGGCTTGCTAAGGTAGGTTACTATCAATGATTTTTACTACTGAACCTGCTTACTATCAATGATTTTTTCTCCAGTTTCACTTCCATCTAACATTTTACAACTCCCACGAGCAAAACTTTTTAAAGTTCACTTATAACATACTCTCAGCGGATTTTTATGTAGTGTTTACTCATTTACTTGCCAATTAATTTTTAGTCCGCACATGTTGACAATTAATTTTTGTATTGGTGTTTATTTTAAGAAAATTTATCTGCAGACATTGAGTGAAGATTAGGTCTGACATTTAGAGATGTTCCAGCACCAACAGTATCTGTATCTTTAATTTGATTCTCATCGATATCTGTTTTCGTGTGTTGATTATGTTTTAGCTTTTTACAGCCCCAATTATTGAATTGGGAAAGGTGGCTACAGCTATTAAAGGTGGAGATATGGGGGCGCGAGTGAAGATTGGGTCTGTAATTTTTCGGGATGAAATTGATGATTTGAGACGAATTTTTAATAACATGGCTGAAGAAATCGCAACTAGTCATGCTGAATTGAAACAAAAGGTGGGGCCTGCACCTGACTTGATCTTTTGTTTATTCTGCTATTTTCGTTATTGCACTGGCTATTTTAGTGGATGAATTTGTTACAGAATTCAAATATTTCAATAGATTTAAAAAAACAGATTAAACCGAATGATAGAATACAATCACATGTAAAATAAGTGAATTCTTATTTAGGAACCTCATAAATACTATTTTCCTGCGTATATTCACTTCAATGGGAGTTTTATTCTCACTGGATTAAATGTTTCAAAAGTCGTCTGCTAGATCGTTAGTGATGTTGGAAGGGATTTGGTCTTCAGTTTGATAACCCTTCAACTGGTTTACCTTGTGTAGTCTATGCAAGTCAGCGAGAGGATTCGGGAATTGGCTCGAGTTAATGATGCTTTGAAAGCTGAAATAGAAGAGAGAAAGAGAGTGGAAGAGGAAGTTAAAAAAGCCAAAGATGCTGCTCTGCAGGCTGACAAGATGAAGTCGCAATTTTTGGCTAACATGTCACATGAGATCAGGACTCCATTGAATGGAATCATCAACTGCACAGAACTTTGTCTGGATACTCGAACTTCTCCTGAGCAACAAGAGTATCTTGATCTGGTACCACCGTGTCACATATACACTTCTATTCGTATAGACATCGTAGCAACTTTGTGCAATGCGTGGATGCAGAGATGTTTGAATGAGCAGAATGTTTCTTTGTCTACTTGTTGAACCCATGACCAATACTCCATTTATAATTTGCAGAAGATAGTAATGTTGTAGATTATTGTTAATCATTTGGTGCACAATCCATGCTTTTTTTGAGGGTGCTCAATTGTCATATATTTGTTATATTCCAGACGTGAAGACATAATTTTACATTTCTTGATTTTACTAGGAACGGATTCTTAGTTTCTAGAAGCATTCCTCACGAGAGTAAGTGTGTGGGTTAGTTATAGAAGTTTCTTTCTGGTTGTGACAAAGAATCAGAGTTTCTACTCGCTGTATTAAGTTGTGTTTGAAAATAACACGTTTGTGTGTTATGTCGTGTCGTGTCATACAAGCATATCTTTGTCACTCTGGCCTGTGAGGCTTTATAATTTATTGCAAAAATCATTTGAACTGGTTTTCCTGGTGCAGGTTCGTTTTTCAGCGAAACACTTGTTAAGAATCATTACAGATATCTTAGATTTTAGTAAAATTGAGGCTGGAAAGCTGGAAATGGAAGACATTCAGTTCTCATTGTATGATCAGCTGGAGCATGCAGTCTCCGTCTTGGCTGTCCGTGCCAACAAAAAAGGTCTCGAGTTAGCCTGTCAGGTGGATCACACTGTTCCTGATCAGATTATTGGTGATCCAGGGCGACTTTTCCAAGTTTTTGTCAACCTTATAGGTAAGAAGTTTTTTGCAATATTTGCATAGTTGATAAGTTCTAATTTTTAAGCTCTATCATTCTTAATTCTAAAAGTTTTGCGTTATTTTTGCTTGAGTTGACTTGCAGGAAATAGTATCAAATTCACTGCAGAAGGAGAGGTTATTGTTTCGGCTAAGGTCAAGAGTCGGAATGAAGATAATATTGAGCTTTTGTTTTCTGTTAGAGACACTGGTAAGTTTTCTTTCATCATCACTTTTCTACACAATCAGCTGGTGTAGTGGTATCGATTCTCTTTCTGGAAATTTCATTACTTGTTTGAAGCCTTGTGTTGCAGTTGTTTAGATATCTTGGATCTGGTGAAATATCCAATACCCTTGGACCTCTTTCAATTCGTTATCCGTTTGGGGTTGATGCATGGAATCTGTATGTATTCGATTGAGCAATTTGTCTTTCCATTTCAGGAATTGGGATACCAAAGCAAAAGCAGTCCTTGTTGTTTCAGGCTTTCTCCCAAGTGGATTCATCAACCACGAGGTATAGAAACATGTCTGCATTTTTGGAAAAATAGAGAGGTGTTTAGAGGGCAATTTGTGTTAAGTTGTTGTTGTTGTTGTTGTTGTTGTTGTTGTTGTTGTTGTTGTTCTTCTTCTTCTTCTTCTTCTTCTTCTTCTTCTTCTTATTATTATTATTATTATTATTATTATTATTATTATCATTATCATTATTATTATTATCATTATTATTATTATTATTATTGTCATTATTATTGCGGTAATGGTATTATCTAGATTGTAAACAAAGGTCGTTGACTTTTACCTTCGTTTATTTTTGGTAGGGAGCCAGTTATTATCAGTATTAAACATTTTTTGACCAGCATAGATTTTTGTTAACCAAGAATTGTATTTATGCAGGTTATATGGAGGAACAGGTTTGGGCCTTGTGATATCTTCGAAGCTAGCCGCAGCTATGGGGGGAACAATGTGGGTTGAGAGCGAAGGAAAAGGAAGTACATTTTCCTTCACTGCGAATTTCCATATACCGCCTGCCTGTGATCTCCCATCTTCCTTAAATGTGGAGAGCTTGAAGAACATGCATGTCCTTGTTGTGGATGATAACAATGTCAACCGGAACATTTTGGTAGATATGCTTAAGGTTTGTCATCTTTCACCTTTACAGGATATGAATCTGTTCACTTGTGGAATAGCCTGCGCCATTTCGTGTCACTTTTAAAGCCTATCTTCGGACTGGTCGTATTGTCACAAATATATGGGACCTATTTTACTTAATGGGATTTTTCTATTTCTTGGACTTTACAAGTTATATGTTTTATCACAGGTTTGGGGCATGATATCCGAGGGCGTTGATGGAATTGAACCGGCGAAAGTTGCTTTGCAAAAAGCTGCAGATGCGGACCAGCAGTTTCGAGTATTGTTGCTAGATATGTGGCTTCATGGGAAGGATGCATCTGAACTTGTTAACTTTCTTCATGAAAGACCTAATTTGCTCGGAACATCTCCCCGCATTACCCCTTTGCACAAAGGAGATAGCAATTTGATGGTTCGAGCTGTCGGCGATTTAGAAGAGTCGGAATCTGAAAGTGAAGGGGATGAGGTATTGGATTGACACTAACGCAAATTCTTGTTTGAGGATTTTCCCATAAGTGCTGTGCGTTTTTTTATTTACTATTTATTATTTTTAAAATTTTAACACACATATATATTGCAGATAACGTGGCAATTATTTTAAATGATCTATTTGTATTTAATGTCTTTGTGTCTTAATAACGAGGTGATTGTACTGCCGATTTCAGGTCGACCCAGAAGTTCCTGATTCTGTAAGGATGTCCCTCGAAGATGCTAGTTTAAACAAGAATCAAAAGGATAAAAACGATAACAGTTTATCTAGGGATTCAGATGGGTCTGGAAACAGTGACAAGTCGATATCACGGATTTTGAAGGGGTCATCCCTCCGGAGTCAGGAATCACAAATCAGGCTCGGAAGAGCAAGTCTGAATCGCCCTATTTCGAGGCCTGGTTCAGCTAATGGGCATGTTCCTTCCATTATAATGCTCACCTCAGTTGATCATTCAGATGCAACAAAGTATAGTCTAAATCCTCACTCTTGCTTTTTGTCTCTGACTTTCTGGTTTGGAGGCGGGTTTATTGGATTTAGCTGCATTTTTTCTTGATACGCTAGAACAACTGATAGTGGAGTTGAGCAGACGTTAGCGTTGCATTTAACAATGTTAGGATAAACTAAGCGTTACTTTCATGAATCATGTCATGTTTGTGGTTTATTAAAGCTCTCTTTTCATATGTCAGAACCACTACCAGCAGATAAAATGATACTTTTCAGTTCAATTAGAGGCAGTGGTGTGGTAATTGTCTTTTGGGTCAAGTGTTTCCGAAGGTGAAGTGATTTCGAACTTATATTGAGTTGAAGTGAACAGTTAGGTGTTTAACCGTTTTCTGATGATAGGTGTGTAATTTCTGAACAATGTCTCGTTCTTTTTCAGATGTCGGCAACTTGGAGTACAAGTGCACATCTCAAAGCCGGTGAAGCGAGTTGTCTTAGTTCGTGCTTTACATCTTGCTCTAGGAATATCTGATAGCAAACCCATGGCACAGGTACGTTCTTCGTAGTGTTTGTTCGTGTGTATGTGTGCGTGCTCGAGCGTATGGGTGCATTTAATTTAGTTCTTTTTTATACTTCTTCCCATTTTTTAGCGTCTTTTGATATGTTATTTTCACTAATCGTTTGTTTTTGGGTCAAGTGTTTCTGGAGATGTTTAGTGCAATTTTAATTTTCAAGAAATGTGTGACAAGTGACCATCTTACGATCTTTTTAAATGGGGAGGCGGAAGATTACCTGAAGCTTTTCTTTGGATGGCTTGATTTTTGTTTATCATCTGAAAATGATTGTGGACTGTGAATACGAAAGGGTCATAATTAAAAGCAGTGTACGTAATCAAAAGATTTTTTCTAATTTGGAACAAGGATCGTTCCTCTAAAATACCCGTAACATTCAAGAGGAACTGGCATAATTGGGATAACGTGTTCTATTTTTTTCAGGCTTACTCCAGTGCCTGTAGAACTTGATCATGAATAAATCCTACATATTTGTGAATAACAATTAATTATACTTGTATCCGTGTTGAGTTTTGCAACCTCTAATCAAGAATTGATTTTTTCTCCCACAAACAAGAGGACTTACAGCTGCGCATGAACACGTATATGTTAATTAGTTCAAATCTCATAATTTTTTGATGACTCGATCGAGAGAATATCGGCCAGTTTTAGAAGCATTTATGCTAATTCAGATTTGACTAAAACCGACTTATCAGGGACAACCGAATGGGAGTCTATGTGTTACAGACTTGGCACAAGAGAATGGGGAGGTATGTCCAATTTGCTATCGTACCCCAGGTTTTCGAAATACAAGTTCTTGTATGGTTCGCTGTGAAGTTACTGACATCTCCCCACTGTTAATGGTATTGGTGGTATCAATAGAATACTAACTTAGATATTTCTTAAATCAACGTTTGTATATTTACCAGCTTCGTGCCTGGAAATAATTGTATTGCTCGTTGTTTCTTCTTTTCATCAAATACTTGGGCGTACAAGTGTGAGTGATAATTTGAAGATTTAGTTCTTCATGTACATTTGTTGTTTGATCGTTGTTTGGGTCAATCACATGCTTGGTCGCCTTGTGGCCATCTCACCTCAAGCGAATCCTCGTTAGGTCTTTCTCTATGACTTACTATTGTTTACCAACATTGTTGTATTCATTAGCACTTATGGCGCGTATAGTGTGCAAAACATACCGATTTTTTTCTCATTGATTGAAGAACTTCAATCTTCACGATCCATATTGATGGTTCTGGACAGGAATATTGCTTCTTCTCTTCATTTTTTCTATTTTTCCTTTTCCGCCGCATCCATGGTCGCATTCTGTACGCACAGTCGCATTCAGGATGCATTACAGTTCTATTTGTGAGTTTTAATGGGTCTTTGAATATGATACGTGCTAATCGAAACTGAACTTTCAACACTGTCTATCTATGTGTCGATTAGTTCTTCAGAAACTGTATGCCTCAACTTGTAGATCTATTTTTTGTTTTTGTGACAGGAGGGTAAATCAGTGACTGAAATTGCTGAACCTAGCCGAGGTCTACACATTCTTGTTGCTGAGGATAACATTGTGAATCAACGCGTTGCTGTTACTCTCCTACAAAAGTGGGGCCACACTACTGTTTTAGCTTGCAATGGCCAGGAGGCTGTTGAGAAGTCAGCAGAGGAGGATTTTGATTTGATACTTATGGATGTAAGTGCACTTGTTACCCGTCTTTAATGATCTGTATTGAAATAATGATATTTTTCTCGTAGTTTTTTTTTGAGCTCAAATTCTTTCCCACGATTCAGTGTAGATTCAAATTGAAAGCTTGTTCTGTGATGTGTTCAGGTACAAATGCCAGTTTTGGATGGGTTTCAGGCAACGACAAAAATAAGGGAGATGGAGTCAAATAGGGATCCAAGTCGTGGCAAGAGAGCTCGATTTATGCCCGTTGTAGCTATGACTGCTCATGCAATGTCCGGAGACGCTGAGCGCATTATCTCTGCAGGTATGGATGGATATATCAGTAAACCTTTGAACGCGAAGAAACTTCAGGAGCTTCTTCAAGCAGTTGCATCAGGACAGCTTTTGAAGTCACATTCTTTAATGCCCATAATCGACAAAGTTACATGACACTGAAGCCTAGAATTATCACTCTATCGAGCCACTGTCCGTCATGAATACCAGGATACACATCAGGTTTCGCAGGATCGCACTTGGATGTGATGAATTGAGTATCTCTGAACCGCTCACTGAAAATATCGATTATAGAAGCAGGGTTTTGTATGTTATTCACTTTCAACAGCTTGGAAGCAGATGCAAGTTGTAGATGCAGCTTAAATTTTGCAATTTATTTTCACGAGGCATTGGAAGGATCCAATGATAACTTTCGGTATGGGGATGTGATTCCTCATGAGCTCAAGGTGGCTGCCAGTTACTATCCAGGGGATGGGAGTGCTTCACGTCAGCGTCCACACTATCAGAAAAATTCGCCAGCTCAATGATGTATAGAATTGATCCAACTGGAAACTCTGATGAAACCATACACAATCTATTTTTGGCGGATGGAGTACAAGCGAGGCGTCCAATTGATGCCCAATTGGAATTCACTGAATAGATGAATAGAGCGAAGAACTCAGCAGGCGCTTGGTTCGTGACTGTCAATGTCATTGCAAAGGGGTAATGAGGTTGAATTGAGTCGGTCAGTTGGCTTTCCACACTGAATGTACATGAATTAAGTATTTCGGTCCCAAAGAGGTTCCACCTGCCATGGTCAGAATTCATACCAAAGCCTTAAGTCTGGCATGCTTTTCTTTTGTTCATTCCGGGACTATGTTAATAGTGCATCAGCATTCATTACTTAATCCTCACCACGGATTTAGCGTAGGTCTTGTTTGTTTCAGAATCAATTGGTCCTTAGAAAAGGATACACAATTAAAAATAGGCAGAGGTATCTTGGCAATTCAGGGGCCGTATTGCATGCTAGACATGTTAAGGCCCTTGTGATGTGGACTACTTTACTTTTTTCTGGAATTGATTATTTTCCATTGTGTTAATCCAAAGTATGAGTATTTTTCATTTAGGGAGAAGTTGATGAAGGTAGACTGAATTTCGTTGTCAAAACTCCTGAGCAGTACAGAAGTAAGTTTGAAAATCCAAAATCCGTAAAATTTATTATACTGTTATGATGCCACAGCTGAGATTATTAACCATTCAAGCATAGCTGAAGTATTTATAACGACTTGGACAAAATAATTATTTTGAACACTTTTGGTTGTGTGACCACTAGCTTGTAACCACTCCATTCTGCGTGTTTATTATTATTCAATAATTCGTTTCATTTTAAACTAAGATATATATGCATATATATATATATATATATATATGTTTATACAGTTAATTACTATTATCACTCAAAATTCTTTTACTTGTTAGTCTATTTCTCTTTCAATTCACTTTAAGGTTATTCTTTTTTACATCAATTTAATAAGCTGTAGCTCTTTATTTCATTTAATTAGAGAAATTTAACACGCTGTTTATTTTAGTTATGTGCATGATGCAAGTATTTTAATTTAAGGCTGTAATACTTGTCACATAACACTTCTTAGATTTTGTCCATTTTGATTTTGAAACACTTGTGACTACTTTGTTTTTATTTGTTAACTTTTATTTTTTGATCTACATAGTGGTTACACAAGTTTGTTAATTTATTTATTTATTTTAGGGTGCATGTAGTCTTTGTGTTTATATATATATATATATATATACGAGAATGTCAAATAGATCCGTGCTATTATTAAATAGATCCATCTTTCATGAAGAATATAAAGAATATGAAGAATATGGTAATCATGATGAATGTGGTTGGTTTTTATTGGTTGCAGATCTAATAGTGGGAAATAAATCTTGAGGTTATTATTTTCTTTTATGATGGTTAGGATGGATGGGTTGATTTAGTAAAAACTTGGATCTATTTAACATTCCATTATTAATATATATAAAGAAATGATAAAGCAATCCAAATTTTTACTAAAGTGATTCAGTCTATCTTAACCATCATTGCATCCTTTCAACCCCATCTCTATTCCCAATTGTCGCTCTTGTTCCCGATGTTCCCAATTTCATGTCCCAATCCTTAGCAACAATTAGGAACATGGAATAGCTGGGAACATGGATAGGGGCTACAAGGATACAATGATGGTTAAGATAGAGTGGGTTATTTTAGTAAAATTTGAGTCACTTTATCATTCTCTTATATATATATATATATATATATCAATAAAGGGTTTATTCTCCCCACTTTTGTATACCATCTTAACCAATAGTATTTGGAGGTATAAAATAATAAGACTTATTAACTAATTTAAAGTAGGATTCTTAATTACTAGGCTTGTATTTGAACTTGTTACTCATAGAAAAAGTGTCCATCACATAGTCTTTTTCCTCTCCCTCTATTGTACTATAGAAGTGGACATTTGCCTCATCCAACTTTATTAAGCCTTTTGTTTAAATAATAAGAAGAAATTTTTAAAATATTTTTTATCATAATAAAATTTTATTTTTAAAATCTTAAAAATAAGTTATCATGAGTATATCTTATGTATAACTTGCAATGTTCCATGTTTTAAAGACATAAAAATCTATTTCTTAAATATATGTCCCATGTTTTATATAAGATATACTTATGTTAACATGGATGATACATCATATAATGATATTAATATTTCAAAGATTAATTATTTAAAATATATATATATATATATATATATACTTTGATTCAATAACAAAATATTCATGAGTACATCTCTTTACTAGATACTTTAAGTAAAGCAAATAAGGAATTATCATATACCACATATAAACAATATACATTTGCAAGGAATTATATTGTTATTATATTAGAATATTTGATTATTTTGCTTAATGTTAGACCAATATTAGTGCATGCATAATAAATAATTATACAATATGAAGAAACAAGGAGCCAAACTCAACTTTCCAAAAAAACCAACATGTCGTGCTTAGTCTAAATGTCATAAGATGTCATCCATATAGTGATATAGCAATAAGTGAAGTTTGTTAATTTTGCTTAATATTTGATTGTGAGAAGAAAATGGATGCTAAGAGATTTTTAACTTGAAATGCTAAGAATCTTTTATTATTTGAAGTTTATAGTTAACATTAATATTAGTAGGATCTTATATAAAAACGTTTTTATATAAGATCCTACTAATATTTTTTAACTCTCAAATTAAATCAATATTTCTACTTAACTGATTTAATTTATATTTAATATCAAAATTTCAAGATGTAAGGTCCATTTAATTTCTAAAGCTCTTTAAAAGCCAATTAAATTTTAGTTGTTTTAGGCATTCTACATGAAGTTTCAAAATTTAGAATTTTTATTAAATTTTGAAAATAAAAATAGAAAATCTTATAAAGATTATACTTTCTAAATATTTTTTAGATTTTATTTTATAGAATAGGTTCTGATATTTTTTAGATTTAGATTTTAACTAAAGTAGTTTGGTTATGGGCTTGTGCCAATTACATGACAAATATAATTCTGTGCAATTTTGGAGGTTGCATGACAACAATATTAGAAGGCAACAAATCTAATATTGGTTCATTATAAAGTTGCCTAATGCATTTTAGAGCTAATAGTAATGTATGACCTTCTAAAATCCATATCAATTTAGTCTTCAACATATATATGTAGATACATATTTTTACCTTCTAAATCTTATAAAAGTGTTTCTATCCACCATCCTTTTTTGAACATAGTAATTTTTGAAAATAATATTTTTTTAAACTATTTTATTGTTATTAGTTATTCATTTACTTACTTCTTAAAAATAATTTTGTTGAAGGTGCTATATACATCTCTTTAATCTATGATTTTTCATGCATGTGCCTAACTTGAAGACATTTTTGGAAAAAATCCCCTAAAAAATTTGGAGTCACAAGTAGGAGTTGTGCCAAGCACAAGTCTCACTATGCCTTATGGACAACACTAAAAAAAAAAAAAAAAAAAAAAGAAAAATCCCTCAACTTTGAATGTTATGATCTCTTACATGAAATGAACTCAATACCTGAGATTTGGTTGTTTGATCCTAATATAAGTTAGAAACAAGATCTTATAGTTGAAAATGTTAAAAATGCTTTTAAAAAAAAGATTTATAAGTCATTTTTTTAAAAGGGGTGTTTTTTTTTTTTTTTTTTTTTTTTTTGCAATTTTGGAGTTTGGAAGGCTCTTTAGGGTTTTGTGTGTTTTCAGAATACACACAACTTAAAAGGATAAACCATATCAAATATATATTAGATATTGTGCACTTAGTAGAATCATACATCAAATTTGTTATAATACATAGACATGCTCTTGATGGTTTGAGAGTTTGTGTAATTGACATCTTCAATTCTCTACTAGATATTGATATTGTCAGGAGTGGTAAAAAAAAAACAAAACAAAACAAAAACAAAAAAAACAAACTGAGTATCTAATATTATTTCTAAATGAGATGAAAACAAAAGTGTTAGCAAAACTAATCAATTGCCATTAATACTTTCTCATGAGCTCTCCAAAATTGATATGTGGCAATTTACAGTAGTTTTGTTAAAATATTGTCATAGATTGTCTTTGTTGTTCAACATTGAAAAGTTAGGCAAGATTGATCACAAGCTTGTTACTTTGATGAAGATTGTTACACAAGAAATTTACTTCTAAGAAGTATTGCTGGCATCAAATGCAAAGAAGCTTGGTGTTACAAAAATCTAGATGGCAATTCAAGAATAATTCTTAATGCTTTGGTTTATTTCAGTATTGTCTGTAGAGTCTGACTTTTCAATAGTTGGATGACAACAAGGCAATAATTGTCACTATTTTATTGGATTTCCCCTCGACTGTATACTAGCAATTTTAACATTTGGAGGCGCTCTACCGTCTTTTCGACACATTTGACAGTGATACCATAAATAATACAAACATAACTGCCAATAACCCTGCAAAAAGCTTACCATATTTTTGACAAATACCGTAAATAGGAGGCTTGCTCATAAGTGATAATACAAAAGAAAAAATTATGTGCAAAAACATGTATCAACTGAAGCTCATGTGAGACAGCTATGCCTCATGAATGACTGCCAGTTTTTGTTTTCATTTTTTTTTTATCAGCAATCTAAACATAATCTGTAACAATGTGATGAATATAAATGTAACAAATAAGCAAGTGCAAAATAAAATAAATGTATAAAAATGTCCAAGGCTATGCACTTCTCACAAACAGTGCTTCATATTGCAAAATATATATATATATATATATACTCAACGTACAAAATGTAGATTAAATATTCCATAAATTTGCAAACATCTCAAAACAACCTCGCTGCATGCAATTAGTTGCATATTGTTCCTTCACACCTAGCAAATCTACGAAAAATGGTGACATGTACTGAGTCCCTATTTCGAGAATAAAGAGACCAACAAATAATTAATGATTCGATAAAAAGTACAAAACAATCAGAACAGTTACAATTCAACGCCTAGACATAGGCCAACCTACCCCAAAAAAGCACAGGTTACACAATGTCCAACCCAGAGATAACAATTCTTTGGCCTATTACTAAAGAATATCATGCCGTAGAGACACCCACCGAAGCTCCCTTATTCTTAGATTGCCCCTCAATCAGTCTTAACATTCAGACTGAAAATGTTCAAGATTGGCTTGTCAGACAAAGCATGTTCTTTCCTGTTGGGAAATTAATTGATAGACATTGGCTCAGCTGCATTTGAGCTCTCGTCTGCAGGTGAAACTAGGTCAGCTGCTTCAAAATCAACTGGATTTTTTTGCTCCTCATCTAAAGTAGTTTGCAAGTCATCCACCTGCACCCCAAAAGCAACGTCAATTCAGAGAAGGTCCCCACATCCTAGGAAAGCAACCGTTTGGACCGAGTAACCACTTTTTAATAAACTTTCAGTAAAAGTTCTCAAAATCATACTCACAACGTGCAAAAGTACACCAAACTGCTTCTTGCGAAGATCAATTGTTCTAGCAGCTGCATAACTCTCTGCTTCCAGCTGGACAAGATCTTTCTCAAGATCGTTAAGTTGCTTTTGCGTGATTAAGCGTGGTGACTGAGCAGCTATTTGTCTTCTAATTTTCTCACATTCCTCCTTGTGCTGCCTCTCAATCTTCGCCTCTTCAAGTTGTATTTTCAAGTCTTCGATATCCCGTTGTGCCTGTCTCGACAGTAATTAGGCCCATCTAGTGTTAAAAAGAACCTCTCCTCAAACTATGCTTCCATTCAATACAATGATCACCTCGCCAAAGCTTTTCTAATCTTCAGTACGATGGCTTCATCGGTCAATGGTAAAATCATGGGCTAAAAGGAACGCCTCTGAAAACCTAAAAACATGCACTGGACAGAACAAACGAAGGATCGCAGCCCACAATCCATGAAACCAATCATCTAGAAAATAAGACCCACATGATAACCAATATAATACAAAACATGCAAATCTCCCTCGGTTGCTTCGACATCTCCTTAATTCCTCAGAAAACATAGAAAACAATGACACCTGAGAAATCTGCTGATTGAGCTCGACATGCAACTCCTTGAAACTCTCCTGCTCACGTCGATTAGCATCAACCACAGCCTTGGTCTTCAACAAGGGAAGCTCAAAAGTAGCCAACTCCTGAAGAAACGACTTGTACAGCTTTTCACACTCGCTGTACTTGCTGTCCTCCTTGTCAATTTCCCCTGCCAACGCCGTGAACTTTTTAATCAGCTTCTTCAAGGGAGGCTCTCCGCGCGTGGTCGTCGTTCGCGTCAGTAGACGCTGTCTGATCACCGCATCGTCCTCCGCCGGGCTGATAGCGTAATGCGCTGCCATGGCGACACCGTTTTCTCCCAACCTCGCACGGAGACCCAAATTTGAAGCTCCGAATGCAACAACAACCTCCCTGTCAAGTCCCCCTCAAAGTCTCGCAGACTCTTCTACGTGCCTCAGACATCATCCCCGGTTCACAGCTAACGCGCCAAGGCCTCGTCGAGGTGAAGAATCCGGACCTGCCTGGTGCGAGTCTGCCACTCTCCGCCATAGCCACAGAATTAGGGTTTCGCCCAGCTTTGCTCAGCACAGAGCCCCCTCCATTGAGCTCTCAACTTTTACTTTTTCTGCAGTTTACTTTATCTGTAATAATAATATATTATGTAATTTTGAATGTATGTATGGCCTGTAGTATATAATGCTATTATGGGGGGGAATGTCTTTTCCAGCTTCTTTTTTACTCACATTGATACATTCAGATTGTTTGGTTATAGTGGGGTCAAATCAGTTGTCATGATGTGAGCATATTATAATTTGTATTATAATGTTTATTTATGTTGGAAGATTTTACATTAAACCAACCAAAAGCAAAGTTCGAAACAGGTATTTAGTTGTGTAAAAGTTTTGGATAAGAACCTTATGTATTAATAGTAGTAAGATTGTTAGAGAAAATGAATGTAGATATGAGAATGCAGGGGACAACGATATGAGATGATCATTGTTTGAAATAACTTAAACTTGTGTAAAAATTTGCTGGTCAATACTACATAAACCAAAATTTTATATATATGTATATATTGTTTTAATTTATTTGTACAAACAGAAACAAGCAAACAAAGGGAGGAAATTCAAGGTAAGTTTATGATGATTTTAGGTGTAGAGGGTGACTTCTTAATGTTTGTAAAATTAAGACATGTTTAACAAGATTTGAATGTGAATTGATTGAAGTATAAAATTTTGAATCAAGTATTCAATGAACACTTGTGTTTCTATAAATTTTTGGATTGACATAATTCTTTGAGGGTGATTTTTAAACAAAATAAGCTACATGTGTGCTTATTTTGTAAATCAATTTCAACAATTCTACAAATTAACAGGGAATATTTTAAAAGCTTGCGTTTTGATGGCAACCGTTGTGCAGAGAAACAAAGCAGAGCAAAATTGTAAGTATTTTATCAATTGAACATATGACTTGGAATTTATTCATACAGATGTAAGAAGTAATTTGACATACAGTTCAACAATAACTAATGAATTCCGTAGGATTACTCATTTTAGATTATAAGTAGCACTAATAACCATAAAATTTGGCATCTGGATCCCTTGCTTCTGTGATAACCCCAACAACTTCTAAACAAGTAGATTCAAGGGTTGCAGACAATATAAGTGTAATTTTGAAAAGGCTAAAATAAGGTGATTCTTAAGGTACAAAGATAAATGGTTTTTTATAATTTGAGACAGGATTGAAATTGAGTTTTGTATAAACAAATTTGAAACAGAAGGAAAATCGAAGGTACATACCAAAAAAGATTTCATGTGAACTGTGGAATTTCCTAGCATCTTTTAACATGTCTCATGCTTATAGAAAATGGAACTACATCTCACTCATCAACAAATGAACTTACAGATTAAAAAAAAGTTTTGTATTCACACACAGCTTCAAATGTAAAGCTCAGGATAAAGTTCTTTTAGTGGTGCATGGAGCATTTAATCCACTATGAAAGATTTGTGAGAGTTCGAGATCCTAAACAATAGACGGACACTTCACCGCTCTAACAGCCCACGTTGCTGTAAAGCAGAGATCGAAATTCATACAGATCAAAGATCACAGGTGCAACCGAAACCTCGCTACTAAAAACTCTGAACCGATTCAAGAGTATCATTAGATGCCCGGGAACACTGATACAATCCATTGTATAAACAATTAGCTTCAAAGACGGAGGTTGATGTCTGAAGTCCAGACATGCCTGTCTGCCTGCAGAACGACGATCTCCATTGCAGCAGTTTAAGTGTCTGATGCCATCAGTAGAACTGGCTTGCAACCCACGTGAAAAGAATAGAACTTCAGCGATCGAGAGTCACTCCACAACGTACTTGGCAAAGAGATTGCTAGGGGTGGTCATGGCCTTGAATTCCAACGCATTGCCACTGCTGTCTTTGAAGAACATGGTCCACTGCACACGGCGCTCACGAAGATGGTCAGAGTCCAGAGGTGAGAATCAGGGTTCTCAAGTGTAGGACTAGTGTTTGCAATAAGAAGATCTGCAGTGTTGGCCGTGCAGAGTTGTGAAGAGTTAACAACTTTACCTGCTCACCAGGCTGCCCCACGAACCGAATATGTGGCTCGATGATGAATCTCACTCCTGCCGCTCTGACGCGCTCCGCCATGGCATGAAATTCAGGGACGCTCATTGCAAGGCCGAAGTGTGGGACAGGCACTGGATCTCCATCTGCCAAACACAATTACGATGTTCACTGATTTCTTAAGGAGTAATTAGAGTTGTGCGATGCGTGATGAATCGAACACTAACTGATAAATGACAACCCACACATTAGATGGATGGTGAGTGCGTTGAAACAGAAAATCGGGAAAAAGATATTCATAAGTTTTGCACAAGAAAATTGATTACCAACAGCATTTGCGCTTGTAGCAGCATTATAGTTCCGCACTTCATGGCACACCACCTGCGATTGGGTAAATCATTCGGTCATAACTTCATACATGATCTAGATTGAGCCTCTTTAAACTTCAACCTTGTCCTGTAGCTACTCCAGATTAGACAGTAGCGTCTTCAAATAAGAACAAAACGAGGAATTCATTTGTTAAGAATTGAGGCACAGGCGTTGAAAGGCACTAAAGAATACTGTTGTAATGCGGTAACAGGGGATAGCACCTGGTGGCCGAAGAGATTGAAATCGACCCAAGTTTTCGCAGAGCGACCTTCTGGGCATCCTAAAACTCTGCACAGAGGGACGGAACCGAGCTCAGTGGACTAATTACTTTAAAAAAATCTAGATTACTATGTAACAGACTGCCCATAAATCAGCAATGGCATACTAATTTTGAGAAATGTTTGAAAGACGTAAAATTTCGTAGTATTCATCGGACTCAAACATTGCAAAATGAGTAGGAAAACTTCAAATTCTGCGTCAAAATGATACCCTCCAAAGAACTCCCGGGCTGCTTGGACATCATGAACTGGAATAGCGAGATGGAAAGGGGTTGTTGCTCCCGAAGGCACTGTTTCCTTTGCTGTCTGTCCATCGTTTGTCGAAGTACTTCCACTAAAGACACCGAGTCCACAAATAAGAAAGCGCAACAGAAGCTCAACACGAAAGTGCACCATATATCCAAATTAACTTGCAATCCATACTCTATTAGAAAATGAGCAGTAGACGAACCCAAACGAACACCACAAACGACCACTGGACAGAGAAATATTAGAGGACCTCTTCTGACACATCCAGCTAAGTTTAGAACCAAAGTGAAAACCCTGGCTCACACCATCAGCTCTCCTGCTGAAAGACCTACTGCAATTTATTTGTGCATGATGTGCCTTTGTTTTTACGCACAGCGCCCTGCGAGGCAAATTCTTTCAAGGATATAATCTTTTCCACCATACATCAGTGTACGAGTAAATGGCCTTTTCAAACAACGTCCATAGTACACTAAATAGATATCAACAAAGAAACTCGAAAGGGCCGTAAACCTCAGGGAATTGTCACCATGAGCGCGATCCTCACCGAGAGTGGGCGGAGGAAGAGGCTGAGACGACGCGCCCAATTTGAACTCTTCTCGTAGCATGATGCCACCGCTCATTACTACGAAATTGCATCGCGGCGTAGAGCGGCAGCGTGGTCGTTGCCCTGGCAACTGCTGCGCCCATCGTTTGCAAAACCACCATGTCCCTTGTGCTCACTAAGAATTGATTCGCGGACACTGGAAGATGCAATTCGCGACGCAGAGCTAGAGTAGAAGACGCCACTCAACAATATGCTCCACGATATCTCCCTCTAAAGGTATACCCGACAGCGATTCCAAGACAGAACTTATGTCCGACACTGCTTGCCCTAAAAATAACGATACCCAACTGCACTGTCGTGGAACAGTGTAGTATAAGAGTTTAATGCACTAAATCCAATATTGATTCTCATTCAGTTTTGGAACATTCCTAGTTTGACATTTACAAGAGAAAACGTACTGGACTTAATTGAACTTATAAGAATGACTTTCGAGTGAAACTAATTCACGAAGGGATCTGAAGCACAGGCAAAAGGACAGAAGGAGCGGGAAAAACTGTGGGGGCTGCGAGAGCGAAACCAGATGAGTATGAAATTACGGAAAGGATAAAAATGACTCAATAATCTTAATGGAATTAAAGTCCATTACCACTTTTGTGGTGTACAGAAATGTAAAGAGGAACCACAGATTGTGGACTTCTATAGTGTGGTCCTCTTTGTAAACTTCGACCTATGCTTTCGGATGAACAATTGCTCTTAAATGCCTATCACATTATTGGCCAACATGGTGAAAACAATTTCATATCTGAAGGGAACTTTCTCACATTATAACTAGCTAAATGACCGCAATACAACGCCCCCCAACAAAATTATGTATCGAATGAGCAGATTTGTCTAAATTGACTCTATTGAAGAGTGATTCCTCCACTCCCAGCAGCTGCCTTCTCCATAGCCTCTTTTTCAATTTCCTTCCGCCTCTCCTCAGCGTGCTGAGCTAAACCATGAGCCCAGGCCTGGTGTTGGAAGTCCAAAGAGCTCGACAAGGCTTGGAACCTTGCTGGATCTGACACCGATATCGCTGTTTGCAAAAGGTAGAGTTTTGTGAGAGGCTTTACAATGGGCAAAATGTAGAACGATAAAAAAAAATAGTGGCTTAACCTACTAGCAAAGGGGAACAAGTAAGCAATATGACGAACCTTTCATAACATCAGAGAAGAAGACAAATGCGTCGATGTTGTCAATAGGAGCCTGGAACTCTTCGTCATCGGCGAAGTCCTCAAAGTCAGAATCAGAGTCATCAGCATGTGAGAAAGCCTTGGCCTGCAAAAGCATAAAAATGCATTGAAGTTAAAAGGATTTTCATTCCAAAAAGTGCGCGCCATAAACAGAGTGTATAGCGAGAGCGAGAATGAATCAGACACCAAGAGTCTTCCGCATACACACCTGCGCTGCTAGCTTTTGCAATTTCTCTGTGCTCTCACCATCACCGTCATCCTCCTCATCATCATCAATTTCTTTGTCCCATACTCCATCGTCAGCCGTTCCATCCCATTCCTCTTCCTCATCCTCTTCTGCTTCCTCAAGCTTCGCTGCCTCTGCAAATTGATTTGCATAAATGCGTTGATGGTAAGATGGAAGAGATTAGCTTATATTTTCGATCAACTGAAAACACTAATATAAAAGCACTTCATGAAGCCTTTCCATATTCTCCTGATTAAACGAGATACCTTTCATCTAATTACTCACCTGCACGCTGCTCTTTGTAAGCAACTAGCAATTTCAACAGAGCCTTGAAAACTTGATCCAGTCCAGCTTGCAGTTCAGGTGGCATGGCCGCAGTAGGAACAGCCAGCAACGAAGCCAATCCTAAGATACAGACCTTCTTGTCATGTTCCCTGCAACAAACGAAAATATTCGTGAAAAATCTTTCAGCGTGAAACAAAAAAATTGGGCCAAACAGTTGAGATTAAATGATTAAAACTGTACGCCTGTTTCCGAACAAAACATCACATTGGTGAGGATGAACCAGTACCTGACAAAGTGCAGAGGTTTGCCCGACTTCTTCACCTCATAAAGCATTCGGAACCACGTTTGGAAAAACTCACTAGTCACTCCCAAATGTTGCAGGATGGTAAGGGTCATGGATGCATTGTAATAAAGCCCATTGGCAACCACATTAACAAGCAAGTCCTTCAAGTAATTTTTCCGCGTTTTACGAAGCCTTTCTATGCTAATACGCAAGTAAGGCTCCAACCACTGGTCCACCCGTCCACGGCAGTTTTGCAGCACTGCCTCAATTAGCTTAGGAGCCGGTTCGATGTCTGCGTCTTCGAATTTCTCATCCACCATTAACTGCAATAAGATCACTGGTGAGTGCCAGCCACCAAAACCACCAAAACTAAACGATTCCAAGATTTGCGCAAAAAGAGTATGAATCAAAAAGAATGCAAGATCTGTGGTCATATACTCACTGTCGATAGCACTTTGAAGAGACTTGATTGGTAATCCGGTTGAGTGGATGTCAGGAAGTGCTCCGTGCTCCTTGAAACATAATTATCCAGTGGCACCAAAATATCTTCACAAAGTACAAAACAGTAGGAATGATGAGTCCTCTTCTATCCCCACGATTTCAACCCCATGAACTTCCCTACATTAATGTAGTCGTAGAGTAACAAACCAAGAGGAACAAAACAAGAACAGTAAATATAACTACCCAAGGAATTCCAATCTGCACCACTTCAAAATACTTACTCCCAAAATAATCAATAGCCCATTCTTGAACCGAGTCGACCATAAGTGGCCACAAACTCCACATGTTCGGTGAAATCACAGGCGAAAAATAAGTCATATATGAAACTATCTCCAGCACCTCCTCGAAAATGTCTGCAGATGCAAAATGGCATTTACCAAGAACTTAAATCAAGGTGGACAACAGTATTCTCAACAAACATCATGCAGACTTACAACTCCACCTGTGAAAGTGTTCACAACGACATCACCATTTACATGTACTTATCTTTTCTCTTCATAGCTGAGTCTAAATGGATCATGAGGAGCATCGCATGCATTGATACTTCGATTCCACAAAGGGAGTAGGCACAAAAGAAATGAGAAGTAAAAGAACTTCACCTTGACCATCAATTGTCAGCATCCGTTGCATGATAGGAAGAAGTGTGGGCTCAATCGCAGGGTAGAGTTCAGGTAGCCGACTGATTGACTCCAAAATAGTGCCTATGGCTCTCAAGCAACCCACAGCGGCCAGAGCTCCGGAATCATCCTCGTCCCCATCATTCTCTGAAGCCTCCAAGCACTTCCAAAATGCGGCAGCCTGTTTAACAGCTCTTAGGAGATCAGTAAAGAGTAAGAAATGTCCTATCTTCAATAGAGGAATGAAATACGATCAACACAGAAACATCAGCGCGACTGTACAATGAAATTAATTCTTAGTATTAGAAATCTTTGACATAGCAACACAACGAGATTCAATGCAAATAGTACTGTACTAACAACAAAATACTAATGCAACAGTATCAACATTTGTCAACATATGCACCGAGTGGCTCTGGACATTCAAAATAAGACATCTCATACCAAATTTTGGCAAAGGCCGAGTGCATAGGGTGCCATTTCTTCCCCAAATTTATCCACAATCGTCTCCAGTGTGAATACAAGGTCCTCATTCTCAACCTCGTTCATCAGCTTGAAGAATTCTGAACAAATATTGCCCATCAATCACGAAATTCAGAACAAAAAGCCACCAGTCCAGTGGAGAAGCTTTTCGTGCAAGAAAGGGTTAAAAAACATTATCGTCATCCAGTACAAGAATGTGCTGTAAATCTCATAATGAAAATAAATTGTATGAAGAGATTACCATCAAGCAGTTGAGGTAGGATCGGTCGAATCTCACTCAGATCTGCGTAAGGATAGAAACAAAAAAAACGACGTTACCAAGGCAAGCAGCACACATCAGAAAAACATCTAGAGATAACTTAAAAGGCACAACCTACCTTCAAAACACGTAAACCAGTTGTGAGGTGTTGAGAGGCATTCACAAAATTCATGTGAGGAACAATAGCTTGTTGGAAACGAGTAATAGGACAAGAATATTGCGAAAATTAATGAATCAAGCGTATGCGTACCTTTACACGCTTCGACGAACGTTCGAAGCGAAACAACAGAATCAACGCGAACTGGGAGCTCAGGGTCAGTAAGAGCTGCCACCACACTATGCAAAGCAGCTGTGAAATGGCGTTGATCTGAGAATGTAATATCCGCGTATTGTCCTGCTACCCATGCAGCCTACAGTGTTTGCAATTCACCAGCAAGATGAGTATGGATCTTACATTTTCTTCTGCGCTCTGCAGAATGATACTACTATTACTCACATACACGGAGACCATAATTAAAGGAAGATAGGGAAATACATTATTGCTACAGAGGATGCCTGCTACAGATAGTCGAGTCAGATGCATTCATACACTACAGATGCATGTTTCAGATGTAAAATTCACTCCACAATAATAGCGGCATGACAAAACGTTCCGAAGGTCTTAATTCTATTACCTTAGCTCTAAGATGACCCGCAGGACTTCTGAATTCAGGATAGACATGGTTGACCAACATAGTTTCAAGTTGGGACTTGTAAGGCTCTGTGTGTTTCAGCTTGTCATTCAAAGCGCCAACAGCCAGCAGCGCTCCATCCTTTTGCCTGTAAGGTTTCTGATCTTGCGGAGCTTCATCATACCTGAGTGTAAACACACATGACATTGTGTAAACACTTCCTGAATAATGAGAACCCTACGTTGAGGTAGATTCTTATTTTGTATACGAATACCATTACAGGATACTCCAAGGCGTTCAACACGTTCGATAGCGGTAAAAACAGAGCAACAATCAACCAACACGTGCATTCCGCCTACAAGCACCTCTCATATAGAACACGGGTATTTCCTACAAGTGAAGGGTATCCAAATCACAAATCCAGACACATATTTAGAGAACGTGTTCTAATTTAACACCAACAGAGTTTGGATATACTAATCCATTGATACCAACAGAACAATCAGATAGATTCTGCTGATCCCTTTTAATGCAGAGTAAAGCTATACCTTCTGAAAACCTCCACAATGAATGCTAAAAATTTCTGCCAGTTTTCTTTCCCTCGCTTTCTGACCAGTTCAGATATGAAGTTTATGGCCGCTGTACGGGGGCTGTACATGTCCTCAATAATATCTGCAGAAAGGCAGTTATATCACACTGGTAAAATAAAGGTTCATAACATCTTTGCTTAGACAATAAATAAGCTGGATCGTGCTATCGATGACCTGGTCTGTGAACCAGCAGGGCAGTAGAAAGTGAATGTTACTTACCGTAACCTTTCCGAACGTATTCATGTGGATCTTCTCGCCATAATTGATCGTCAGCATCATTGAAACACATAAGGGGGAATATGATTTCGAATAGAACGACATCCAGTTGAGGTCTCAATAACTGATAAGTGATAGCCTTGGATACACTGTAAGCCAGCAAATCTTGCCCGTTCAGTATTGTTATCGTGCATGTCGTGTCAAAGGCGCATTTCAACGGAAAGTGTCATGGTTTAACTAAGACAAGATAAGCCTAACCTCAGAGGATCACGCTCAAACATCTAAGATAAGAAATCAAAATTTCCGGAGCTCCACAAAAAAGCAGATATCCTAAAAAGCAGGTTAACATTAAGACCAATTCACATGAGTGCTCAAAAGCTTAAGGCTGACGCAAATAGGATCAAGGGCATACCTGGTGCTGAGATATTGTAGAGCCAAGTTGATAACTCTATCAGGCAGATACCCATTCTCCCGCACAACACTCAGAAGCTTCATGTAAAGCTCCAAAAATTTCCCCGAAAAGCTCTTCTGGAACATTTGAGCGAAAGCTTTGTTCTCCGGCTTCGACATCTTCGGATCACCAAACCTACACTCGAAAACGACGGTTAGAAACCAAAGTCTCAGACGAATGCATGGTATGTGTTCCGAAAACTGTTAAGACACATATTCTACTCGAAGAGTTCTCACCTGTTGTACAGCCGGTTCATGATATGCAAAGTCCACTTTTTAACTTTCCACCAACCCCATACTTTCCGTTGTTCAGGATCAGTGGGCTGGCCTTCAACAGGGACAGGCCTCTCCAAGAGATTGTGAAAGCTCGACATCCATCCAGTAAATGTGTTGACATCATGCAACAGCTTAGGAATCTCCAGCTACAATCAAAACAAACGAATGTTCCGTTCAGCAATATTTCATCGACACCAAATCGGAATGGTAACAAGCAATACACAGAACTTTGCACATCCAAGTGCAAGTCTATTATCGTTAAGCTAACACCTCACGTTCTACAGCAGCTCATCATTTCGTTCAGAACATGATGAAAGACTCAGATACTGATGAAACTCAGAAAATGAAGTTGTGCAATGATTACGATATGTTGGGATTTATTCGCACAGAGAACAATCTGTATTATCACTTACATAAGCTGATGACCAGAAGATCTTCAATATCAGCTTAATAAGATCCGCGACTTCGATTGTAGGGTTCGGAAGTGCTAAAAGATGGTTCAAAATTTCCAACAAAACCGGAAAGGTCGAATTAATAATGTGATAAACTGGTGCTCGCTCCTCTTCATCCTTAAACCTGTAGCCAACCACCCCAGAATATGGTTACAGCCCATATGTTACGAAGAAATTTATAACCATTCAGAACCCCACGCCGGGGCACGGTGCATTTGTTTCCTCACATTATTACGAGCTTGCATGATAATTCTTCATCGTACTAGGTGACATTCTTATACAATTCCTATACTTCTTTACGATTACCAGGGTCGCAGACAGTATGCAGAATTGTGAATGACAAAAACGGGTTCATGAAAATGCACATAATTCAAGAGAAGATACTGATGATAGGACATAACGTACTCATATTTGCGAGTCAGAATGCGCAAAGCATAAAGAGCACCGTAAACTCGTTGCTGATCTTGAGACTTCAAGTTGTTAAAAATGGCGGGTAAGAGATCCGGCCACTGCTCGGGATAATCAGCATGGATACAAGTCTTAAGGCACTCACCAAGTTGGACCCTGAAAAAGCTCTATACGTTATGGACAGAATCTCGCGACGGAAATATCAGAAACATCTAAGCTTATTGTTTACGCCGAAGTACACTTCATTATTCATCGATCCGAAACATACACCTCATCTAACTCAAACTCTCTCACCTCAATGATTAGGATAGACTGAAGTAGGGACATTTTAAAACGCCCACACGTAATCAAAATAAAAAACAAGTACTTTCAATGCAAAATGTTTACCTTATAATGTAAGGAGCCTGCACAATTGCCTCCAAAATATTTTCTCTCACTAGTGCCTTATCAGTATCAGATATTTTTGGTACCGCAACTGCAAATGAAAAAAAAAGCTACGATCAGACCCAACAATCTTATTCCTCTACTGCCGTAAGCACTTTGCAGAAAAGAGTGAATTAGAAAGTTAAGGAGAGACACACTGCTTACCAGGTTCTCGAGGCACCCAATCCCTTGCGATCACATTCTTGAAGTAAATACTGGCACATTGACGAATTGATAGATCAACATGTGCCGCCACAATAATTTGAAGCAGACCTGCGAGATGTCCCTGAACATGTTGATACTGCACCAGTATCCAACATCCATGTCAGCACCAAAAACAAAGTGATTGCTACGTGCTGCTTTAGAAAAAGTTGAACAAGCCGAAAATCACCAGGCACAGTATGTAAATGCTTATTATTGGAGTGTAAGCAGGTCCAAACAAAATTCGAGAACACTGAGAATACGTGGACACTAGAGAAATGCGCAGAATGTCGTTCCAATGGAGAAGTAGGATTACATAATTACTGAATGCAGAAATCAGCACAGAATTAGCGAATCAATAACTGTAGATGCACTTCGGTCAAGCGTTCGCGAACGTTTAACCAAGACCTACGTTAGTATTGATAATTTGTTACTCGCAGTGATCCACCTCCCGAAGGATTGCACCAAGAGTGATACTAAGAGTGTACTAGCAGAGATAAAACTGTCCGTGGGTTAATGTCAACGCAGGGGAAAAACACGACTCAATCATAGCGAAAAGAAAGAAAGAGAACAAAAAAAAAAAAAAAAAAAAAAAAAAAAAACGGCCGCAAGACTTCGTCTGATTTTCGAATGACCCTAATCGGTCTCAGTTACGACAAAGACTGATTCGAGTAGACCTGTAAAGCCTCACTTCAATTCCCCATTTCAAGTGATGCTCGTGTGGGCCAGGGACTGCCCAAAAAACTACAGTGATAGTAGTAGATCCACTGAAACACCAGATCCATTCGGAATCTTGACATGGTTTAGAACTGCAGTATATATCGTAGGGTGACAATAGTGCGATCTAAAGAATCTAGAAACATCAGATCAGGATTGTGAAAAAGTACAGTAACCTGATTGAGCCGCTCCTCTCCGGCTTTTCGCTCCTCTGGATTGGTACTGAGAGCAGATTGCAGCACGGTGGCCAAAGTCTGTAAATCCATGGTGACCAAAGCCTTTATCCACGTTTTTTCAATCCACCCAAAAGTTACGCATTGAGCAAGCCGTTGCCCCTTCAACCTTTTGTTTTGAAATAGCAAAAAATTCATCCGTCAGCCCCCGAACTCAAAAATCAAGGATTCATGCTCAAAAAAATGGGTCTAGCCTCACTCAACAAGATTAACAGAGTACAGATGTCAGGAACACATTCAACCCCAAATGGACGTTTACAAACACTGCTAGATTCCACGCTACTTTCCTCCCAACCAAAAAAAAAAAAAAAAAAAAAAAAAAAAAAAAAAAAAAAAAAAAAAAAAAAAAAAACAACAACAACTAAGGCTCAAGCTTTACTCGGATCAAACCCCACTCTTTTAAAGCCTCCGCTAAGATTTCAATAAACCCTAGCCACCAACACCTACTCTCAATCAACTCACCACAACCTCACCATCCGAACCCAGAGAAAACCAGAGACTCAACCCCAACTTACGACCACCCAACTACTAGCTCGCAGACTCCTCACAGCACTCTCAACGCTCTAAAACCCACACACCCCCTCGCACATTCACAACCCCAGCTAAACCTCGCCATCAAAACACTCAACAGCCCAAAAAAACAGCAAGGACATTATAATCACAAACCGAGAAGCAGAATCATCCCAATGACGTGACTTGGGGAGAACTTACAAATGGTGCAGCCAAGGGCAAACCCACCTTGAAAAAGTTAAGAAGAGGGAGAAGGAGAAGAAGGGCAGGAGAGGAAGAGGAGATTAGGAGAAGAGAGAGAGATAAGGGGGAGGGGAGCAGGGTATTGGGTCCCTTGTGATCTTGGTGTTGTTGGCTCCTCAACCAAGAGGAGCAAGAAACGCGAGAGGAGGAAAAATGAAGGAGGTGGCGATCTGGGTAGCTGCAAAGTTTTTATGACGACGTTACCCTAATATTCGTCTTTCTCGTGGGCCTTGGCTTCCCCACCTGACCGACTGACTCCACTCCCTCCCTGACGAACTGACGCCGCTTGGCTTGGCCTGGGGTGGCTGGGTGAGGTTGCGGGGCTTGCTTGGCTCACTCCTCCGACGCTGGCTTGCTCATGCGCGTGTTGCTCCGCTCTACCCTGCGAGCCCCATGACCGTCGCGTCTTATTCTGTGGCAGTATGCGCAAGACAGGGTTGGCAGCAGAATTCGGAATTTGCCACCACTTCCTCACGTCCCGCAGGTTTACTGTTACTCTCGCTCGCTCTTCTTCCGTCCTCAACGGAGGGATGGATTCATTCGCAAACCCACCTCGTCGCTCCTCATCCTCGCTCCATCCTCGCCCCACATCCTCCTCGCGCCCGGCGCTGCCTCCGGTGGCGACCCGACCACGCCGCGGGACGCAACCCCGTCCAATGAACGAACCCCCGCTGCCTGCCGCCGCTCCCGCCGCTCCTCTCCCCTTTTCGTACATTCTTCTCCTCTCCCTAACTCGTACATTCTGGGTCTCGCTTCCATTTTCTAGATATTTGGTTCATCGTGGATGTATCTTCGAATCCACGAAGTGGATGACGGTGATGGATGTAGACATTCATCCATGGCCTTCATGGGTGGGTGGGTGGATGATTGGGTTGATGGCCCCAACCCATTGAAAGATATGGACAAAGAGAAATAACAAATAAAATGGTCTTAGTTTTGATTGGGTGTGTGGCTCTCGACATTTGGCGTGGATGAGATCCTTGGAGATTTTTGAGTTTGGTGTTGTTTTGATTTTTGAGCTTTTGAATAATGTTTACTAGCATTAGTGTATGTCTTTTAGTTTTGTAGTTATAAATTAATCATACCAATTCTTGCCACTTTCAATTAAAAAATAATTGTTTGATTTTGGAGGTAAAATCCTCCTATGGTGTTTTATGTATGTATGTATGTATGTATGTATACTTTGGTATAGTATGAGAATGATACTAGTCTCTTGTGTATATTTATTTCACATATAAGAATGTAATGTAGCTGCTGTAACTTTTACAGTGTGTTGAATCAGATTAAAAATAGTTTAAATTTTGATATAAAACATGAACTTCTGTTACTTAGAAGAATAGATAGCACACAAGTCATTATAGTTTATGTATTATTACTTTATAGAACTAAACAATCATTTTAGTATGAGTAGAATAAAGATGTTAATTTTGAATTAAAAATGATAGCCATTTTAATCAATCTATCACCACATATATTTTCTGCGTGTGTGTTTTTAATATTTTAACATTTTCATATTAAAAATATTAATGACAGGATTGTGAAATAATCATATAAAAAATATATCACAAAGCTTTTAAAAGCAAGTAATGTATGTATGTATGTATACACACGCAACCATAAATATACATTTCTTGATGATACTGATTGTTTGATTTATTTATTTATTGTTTTGGATTAGAGTATATTTCACGCAGCAACACAATGTTACTATTGTTGTCGTTAGTGCAAGTGGTGTGCAAGTGGCTAACCACAAGCACTCCGTTGCAAACGATATTTCACAAAATTTCTCATGCAAATGCAACTATCTCATTGACTTAAAAGTATATTGAATTTAAAAGTGAAAAAAATTAGACAATTAGATAAATGTTGACATGCTTTGAAATATTACGTTTGTTCAGTTATCAAATAATTCTATAAAAAACCAAACTTTTGTTTTATTTTATTTTATTCTATTCATTTTTTTATAATATGTGAACTAAAGAGGGAACAAAAGATAAGGAAAAACTACGGTCACTCTCTAAAAACATCTACAAGAGGGAAAACACAAGTTTTACGTGATTTTCCCATACAACACAATGTACACAAACCATTAAATGCAGTACATAATTGATGAGTAATATGCAAGTCATAGTAGTGACAGAGAAGCAACAAGTGTATTTCTCACACCAATGAGTCACGTCAGTTTTCATAACAGTCACCTAGAGATTATCAAATGCACCGTGACTACTGAAAATTTCATAATCATGACCGTTCCAATTAAATGTTTTGGTACTGCAAGGCTACAATAAAAGGATCGGTGTTTTCGAAGGTCATAAAGCCAGACTCTTGTGATCATCGAGGAACTTCGGAGTTGCTTTTATAATTACTTTACTGGCGTGAACATTGCAAGAAACACAGCATAATCTTGTCAAGACCTTTAGTTGATACCCCAAGAACTACAGCACTTAGGAATAACGTTATGCGGAGTACAGAAATGATCATCGAACTGTCATTCAACTCGAGTTGGCCAGTTCATGAAAGACTTGGTACCTTCAAGTCATTCATATTTTTTTATGACGATTGCGACCTAAGAAGTACAGTATTTCATAAGCAACGTGGTTTGATTCATATGGATGAAACACACAAACTTGAAACTTGCAAATTTATAGTTTGTTTTACAAGTGACAATATTGTCCAAAAGAAGATGACGGCCCAAACTGCTCAATAGTCTTTGTGGCCAGTACAAGCAAGTCCATGAACGCACTGAACGATGCCCTCAGGAATCGTGCTTCTAAAGCGGTAAATGTGCTGCCACATAACAAAAAAGAACAATCATTCTGCATGTTGCTTTCTAATGTCATGGAATAAACCTAACGTAGCATGCCACATATTCTAAATTAGCAATAATAGTTGATTGCGACGAGTCAATTGACGGATTGAAGTACATTACAATAAAACCAACATAGTAGAAGTTTGAGAACATGTCACACTCACACAGAGAGCCGAGCCCCTTGAACTGACATTTCCCTTTGAACCTTGTCTGGTTGCAACTGTAAACCAAATGTAACAATTGTTAAGCACAAGGAATGCTTAGACCAATAATGAGGGATATACAATTCGCAGTTAAAACCTTACTAAAACCAAAAGTACTTCTCCGCATCGAGATCCACTAATACTCTCCAAACTATGTCTTCTACATAGATCTCAAAAGCCACATACAGACTACATTCATGAACAGTAAGCACAATCAAGAGTAGTGTACCTCAGGGTCAACAGCTAATGCTGTCTTCACAATGTTAGCCAGAGATTCAGATGGATAATCGACGTTCATGGAGCTACAAAAACACGCATGAATCATGGCAGTCACGCAAAATATGTAATGTTATAATGCAACAGTGTCATAGTGAATATATGCCAAGCACTTCACACCCTGCTTAGATTCTTCAGAAACGGAAACACAGATTTGCCTATGAAATGAAAAGGGAAGATGAACATTGAGCAGTGATACTTCACGTGCTGCAATGAACACGACTTGAGAGCTGATAAACTAAAAGGGAGGCAGAGGAACATACAGAGTGAATCCGGCCACGGATTTTGTGAGATTGGTGCGAAGGGTATCAAGGTCCACCTGTGCCACAGAGGCCACATCGACCACCGCCTCGGAAACCATCTCCGCTCAGTGCTCCAAAACTAAGGGATTGGTACTAAACCAAAAACCCAAAACCCCACACTCACAGCACTTGAGAAATGTGATAACCCATAATTGCGATGCTTGTGAATTCTCACTCAAATTGAAGATTACACCTAATTCCCTTGAAAAAAAATAACCCTACAAAATAATTCTTAGTGGGACAATACTAAGAGCAATGAGAAGCGAAAACCCTAAAACCCAAAAGACGTAGTAATTACTTCTCCAAGCCCTGGTAAGCTTCTCAAGGTTCCAAGAGGTCACAAACAGCAGCTCAAACGAAGAAAGATTGCGATGAAGACAATAGAAAAAACGCGAGGGCGACGAGAACGTACATCCGGGTGAGAAAGCGCGAAGATTGGAAACGGGCACATAGGCTCAAGAGAAGCTAGTAATGTACAGCATCTGGAAGGCGGAACACAACCTCGGCTAAAAAAACCTCTTCACACCCATTTGCGAGTCGATTGCAAGCTCCGAAAGCACAACGATCCAACTCCGAAAGCCTCGATTCCAGACCAACCCCGACGTTGCGATGAAGGCAGACACCTGATTCCGGCATCTGGGAGTCCCCAACGATGCCATTTGTGGCGTTTCTACTGTGAGTGTTGCGACAGGCCTTCACATTTTTGGAAAAAAAGTAATAAAAAAGTAAATACAAAGAAAGAAGAAGGTGTGAGTTTTACAGTCTTTCAAATAAAAAATTTGCACCTTGATCCATGTACTTCAAAAACCTAGTTTTTATTGGTCAATATTAATATTTCTTTGAACTTAGTGGAGTTAGTTATGGACTTCTCATCTGTATGTCTCATTTGATTATGAGGTACTATTTTTTCTTCAGATTGTATTTTTTTTTAAAGAATTTGAATGCCATTATATATGTAAGAACATTTTTGGAACCGCTTTGATGTACATTTTAAGTATCCTTTAAGGATTTTACATAAAAATTTAGACACAATATTTAGTCTTTGCATTGTTGACTCATCCAATACAACTTTGGTTCATGTATGACCAAGTGATTCTCAACAAGTTCGCACCATAATGAGTCTAAACATTATGGCCAAGTTAAACAAAGGTTGATGAAAGTTTTGTGTTCTTAATTCCTTATTTTGTAATGGAACTAATTGAGAACATCGATGTGTTTAAATGATTACATAAGATAATAAATTATGATATTATTGGAGGCAATAAATGTTAAATGTTAAATTTAATTCAGTCTCCCTGGCTTGAAAGCACCTTTTGCTTTTTCAATTCTCGTAACCGGTAAATCTACCAAATAAAAATCTACAAATAAGAATTCTTCAAATTCAAGTATCTGAACACAGAATCTACCAAGAAGAGACATTATCGAGGAAATCTACAAAAAATCAAAATATAATTTGCTCACTAAGGTTCTACCAATTAGAATCCCATAAGAATGTAGTTTATTGATGCAAATTCAACACTTATGAAATCTATCATTTTGAAATCTAAGAAACCGAGTCTTCGGAAATTAGTGCAACAGTTGCAGATGTTTCCTCTGCATAGTATACACTATACAATATACAGCAGATGTTTCCTTAGAACAGTATACAATATACAGCATTCCTTATCCAAAAAATGCATGCACGAAGGTTTAGGGTTTAAGGATTGTGGGATAGTTCGCGGAATCCTCCGCGGAATTCACTCTTCCGATTCTCGTGACCGAGTTTGATTGTTACGAGGTTGTATAGGTGCGATATTGCAGCTGTTGATGCGTTTTTCGATGTGAGACAAGGCGGAGGCAGGTGAGTGTATTCAACAGCGAATTTACCTTCGATTGTGGAATCATGCACTGCACTTCTGGACTTGGCGATTCGTTGGAAGAGCTATTGTCTACATGTGTTTCAGAATTTCTTGGAGCGGTGTGTGTAGTAGATTTTTTCAGGTGAATTCTCTAGGGTATTGGGCAAAATGGGTAGAGGTTTTTGGATATGCAAACGTTGCGGTGGTTTCCTCTGCTGTGACTGAGTCGATTGGGTCGCGTGTGATGTTGTTGTAGCTTGCGTGCAGGTGCGACAGATTGGTAGTCACAAATTGTACTTTTGGAATCCCATGGTATCGAACGCAGCATATATGTTGCAGTAGTGTCATACTCCGTGGGGGAGCACAATGGCGCTGCTTAATAGATGGAATAGTGCAATTGACGGATTAAATGTGCATTGCGGAAGCAGGAGCCTTTGCGTGAAAAATTGGTTACTCGGAGCTCAAATTGTTTCGTTGGAAAGAGGATGGAAGATAAAGAATTTGAGCACTGCAAGCAGACCAGCTCTGTCGAAATGGAATTGCTCCGTTCTCTCAACGTCGCTAGAAGAGGCTATTGTAGGTAAGCCAGATTGTGATGATTCTAGTGGTCGTGAGGTGATTGGAGAGGAGGAGACGGCAAGCGAGGCGCCCTTATTGAGCGCTCTTAGAGAATGCGCAGAAATGGACGCCGCATCATTCCATTTTCCCGGCCATAGACGTGGATCAGGAGCGCCACCCGTGATGGAGGCTCTCATCGGGAAAAGCGCTTTTGCAGCCGATTTGCCAGAGCTTCCCGAGCTTGACAACCTCCATGCAGCTGAGGGGGTAATTCTTGAGGCGCAGTGCAAAGCGGCCCGGCTATTTGGAGCGGAACAGACATGGTTTCTAGTGAACGGCTCCACTTGCGGTATCCAGGCTGCCGTGATGGCTACATGTGCGCCTGGTGAATACCTCATCCTCCCTCGAAATGTTCATATGTCCGCCGTTTCGGCCATGGTGCTATCAGGAGCGCTGCCGAAATACGTTTCGCCCATCTCAGATTCGACATGGGGGGTGGCACATGGCGTGCAAATTGCACAATTCGAGGCCGCCATTCGGGAGATTCGAAGCACCGGGGGTAAAATAGGAGCTCTGCTAGTGGTGTCTCCGACCTATTTTGGAATTTGCAGCCTCATTCGGGACCTTGCACAAGTGTGCCACGCACAAGACATTCCTCTTATAATCGACGAGGCGCACGGGGCGCATTTCAGATTCCACTCCAAACTGCCACAGACCGCGCTGGAGCAAGGGGCTGACATTGCAGTGCAGTCCACACACAAAGTGCTCGGATCTCTCACTCAATCCGCTATGTTACACGCCCAGGGTTCAAGAATCAACCGGGCGAGGCTCGCCCAGTGTCTGCAGATGCTTCAAAGCTCAAGTCCCAGCTATCTCCTGCTTGCATCACTCGATGCATCGAGAGCTCACATGGAAGTGAACCGCCAGGATTCGAAATTAGATGCCGCTTTATCTCTCGCCTTCATGGTGCGGAACGCATTGCAGCAATTACCAGGCCTAATGATCTTAGATTTGGCGTCCATGCCCTCCGACGCAGTGGCAGAATCCTCTATTGCTGGAACTGACCCCCTTCGTATCACTGTCGGGCTGTGGGGATTAGGACTAACGGGTTTCGAGGCGGACGACATTCTTCGCTTCGAATTCGGCGTTATCGCTGAGCTTCCTTCCCTGCGCTCTATCACATTTGCTGTCAGCGTTGGGAGCTCTCATAGAGATGCGACGCGTTTAATTGATTCCTTTACTGCTCTTTCATCGAGGTATGCCTGCAGGACTGATCAAATAGTCGGCCCCATCTCCAACCCTCTTTTACAAGATCAAGCCATAGTATGGGAGAATCAGTTGATGTATCTCAGCCCCAGGGAGGCATTTTACTCCAAGTCAGAGGAAATCATGGTGGAATGTGCTCTTGGTCGAGTGAGCGCGGATCTGCTTTGCCCTTACCCCCCGGGAATTGCCGTTTTGACGCCAGGGGAAGTAATTACAAAAGAAGCAGTGGATTACATACAGGCTGTAATTGCTGCAGGGGGAGCAGTTAGTGGGGCAATCGACGACGACTTCAAATCCGTTAGGGTACTATTGTAGAGGTAGGAGGTAACAGAAGGTATTTTAAAAATGTGGGAGATATTAAGAGAATTTGTACATTATTTAAGAACATGGTTATTCACTTTCTCAAGTGGAGATTACGCGAAAGTTAGTTGGTGCTTTCAGTGTGCTTCATTTTGGAAGTTCATATCCAACAGCGGACAATGCTTTATGATGTACGACACAGTGACAAAAGGGATATTTATGTATTTCACTTCTTGTTAGGAGTTAATGAGCTGTGAATGCTTAAGTTATTTAGGTTTAGAAGTGGTCACATTTTTTGGTTTAATGATTTAAAAGAATTGTCGTGCCAGGATATGTAGCATAGTGCTGGAAGTTTACACAAGCTTGAATGTGAAGGGTTTGACAGTATAATCATCAATATTGGCACAATGTTCATTCTGGAGGGAGAAGGATATATCTAGAGAAAGAGTACCAGCATTCATTCCAACAGTGACTTTGAGGGTTGTCAGGGAGGTACACTTACCCAATGCAATCTGTGGTTAGTTCATGGAGCTGATGGGACGAACTGCACGAAATTCGGCATGCATGTACATCAATTGTTGACAAACGGTGGCCGGCACATACGGCTACATCAAACGAAGTACAGGGTATTTTATGGGCGGCATTTATAAGTAGACACAGCACAATTGCTTTAATACTAGGTCGGAGTGTGAACAGAAACGAGAAATAATCAGTCAAGAGCAAGCATTCAAGCGATCAATGACTGCTGAATGACAGTAGGGCCATCACTGACCAGAAACTATCGCACAACTATTTGAACTCAGTGGTCACATATACCAAGAAGCCTTCGAAATGTGCATGTATTGGACTGTATGACATAGGACTCATAATCAGGAAACAGAGAATGTTGTCGAAGACAAGCATTTCAGCTGCCACAAGCGAAAAAGTGGCAGCGATGCCTACTCTGACAGTAGTTCCTTTTGCACAAAAATTTGAACTCAAAAGGTAATACGTACCAGTAAGCCTTCGAAATGTGCTTTAAGATAGACGACTGACTCAATCCTGCTGGATCAAAATCCACACAAATCTTCGAAGCCTCCGCTCTTCCAAATGAGGCAACGTCTAACTACGATAAACTGTGACTGCAACTTGTGTGAATAAGTGCCATCACCTTCGTCGGTACCAGAAGCTCAGTAAACACACAACACTGGTCAAGGAACCTGATAGAGCTTTCACTTACGACGGACAAAATAGAAATGCTAAAATTACAAATCTCGCCACACACAGTTCAAGACCGAGGAAGAGCAGGAGCTTTCTCTGGTCACGTCGCACACCAACATACTGACACAAAATTTGCTCTAACGCAGCGATAGAATATATAACGACATTGCCGCCTGACATCAAAAAACCTTAAAACACCGCGCTCACTAACTCCACTGCCTGAGAAAACCCAAGTTAGGGTATGGGGCCACAGATCGGACTGATTCAAGGAAGTGTTCAGCAGCCGTATTTAAATGCTTAGGGTTTGAACTGTTAAGAAGGCAGGATTCGGAGATTCAACACTTTGAAATCTATACAAAGTAGCCTAGATCTTAGGTTAGAAATTTGAGCTAATAGGGTGATTTAAAACCGAATATACCAAACAGTTTGGATCTAATTTTTTTTAATGTTAAATAGGTTTAGGATCCCCAAAATGTGAAGAATTTACGATTGGGGGCGTTGAAACGGTCATAGGTCTTCACGGTCTTCTAGTTTTCACGCTTGTAGGTGTTGGCTTGCGACTGGTGACCGTTAAAATACTAATTCACTGAGGTACATGAGATGATAAATTTCGACTCTCCGTATGTACACTTATATACTACAAAAACTCTTTTAGTTTGGTATAAGAGATTATAATAGTCAAATTGTAGGTTGTCAATGTCAGTGGGAGAGTAAATCCATTTAATTGCAAGACTTGCCATGTGTAGAGTCTAGATTTCTTTTTACATATCTGTTTGTATGTGAAAAAAGTTTACTAAAATACTGTTGATCTTAATGCTTTAAATGCTAATACTTTAACTTTAATATTAGTTAATTGACTCATAATAAAGCGATAAGAACCCAAGTACTAGATTGAGTTGTTGAGTAACATTATTCTAGCCTGATAAAAACATTTTTGATTCTTCTTAACCTGTTTTAGCACTATTCGAGAATGTGAAACAATTAACAGTACAATATCATATCTGACAATCGCATTTCAGAACCTTGTACGATAATAAAATTTGACAACGCGGAATGATACAATCGAAAATGCAACACAACAAACGAGGAGAAATAAAACTCAAAATGTTTCAAAAGTGAATAAATACAACATCCAAGTGTTGGATGCTAGAATGTTTAAAAACAAAAAAGGTGAAGCTCGGTTCTAGAAGTAAAAGTGACCCAGCAGGAAGCAATGGCGGAAGTGTAGTTGCCTTGATCGTAGTCAAGAGGCTGGGACTTCTCAACGTGAAGGTCGAGTGGGTTTCAGTCGAATACCATCGAAAAACGCCACCTTGGGGATGAACTTGCACTACAATTTGGGTTCAGTTCTGTTTTTAGCTTCGCAAGCATTTGTTGTCAACAAATTGTGTCTAGGGTGGACGTAGTAATGCTTCTAGTTGTCGACTGTGAGACAAACCACAGTAACATTACTCGACGTCGCTGTTAGTCGTTCCGACGCACCACTACCATGAAGTGGCTCTGCTCGACCTAATCCTTCTCTAGATTTAATTAATAGTGTTCGAATGCTCTAATTCAGCGATGACGAAGAAGAGTAGAAAGAAGCTTCCAATGCCCATTGTTGTCATTGGACGCCGTTTCAGCATACCCCTCCGAAGGGTGAGTATAGTTGATGAGGTGACGGATTCGTCCGTGATTGGTGAGGCTGGCAACCTAATGCACTCTCTGAAATGAATGAGCTGGCCCATGGCTCCAAAAATCGTTCTAGTCAGGGCTAACGTACTTGCTTGGCAAGTTTGGTAGTCACAGCAGCCAAAGAGAATGCTCTCGATGCGGCTTTCGCAGACTGCACTTTGCATACAAGCATCTTCCAACGCATCTCCTCCTTTCGGTTCGGCTCCTGGCCCACCCGTACCTTAAAATGCCTGCACATACAAGGACCCACAGCTCAAACCACAAAAGACAGCAAAAATTGGTTGCGTCTGAAACTGGGTGCAAGTGTACGAGTCTCAGAGGATTATAAGTTTGTGGGGTGCACTGGAGCTGGTAGGAGAAAGAGGATTGACATCAATTACCGGCATAGAGGCACTTTGCACGACTCTTGCAGGGTGCACATTCGGGAGTGGAGCTCTAGAAGTTGCCACATTCGTTTGCAGTGCACGCATCCACCGGAGACCTTGAGCTTGCAAGCAGCGAAGTGGCGCACCAAGGACTCCAGGCCTTTGCAAGCTGGGAAGGAGCAATCTCCCTTTCGCCCGTCCCAGGCCTTGTCGTGGGGCCCAATGGACTTGCACCCGTCGCGGCATATGTGAATCAGTGCATCCATTGTATCGTTCAGTTGCGAATACACTCTGTCTTCATCGAAGCACCGCGACCGTTCTCGCTTTTTCTGCACACTCAGACAGGGGTTCTTGAGTACATGCTACATTCAATCCTGCAGTGGAGACCATGTTTCTGAAACGAATTTGCTTCAACTTATAATGCAATTTTTAGACCTGGAACTTACAATGTCGGAATCAATCACTGCTTCCACAATCTCTTGCTCCAGAGCTGGATCAGATTCTTTCATGGTTCTCCAGCCATCTGATCGCGCAATATCCTTGAAGTCGGATAATATTCGTCGCAAACACAGCAGATAGAGCCGAGGCTCGTCGCATAACCTGAAAGCGCCGCATGTCAAATCACTATGAAAGCACCTATCAGAGGTTACGAAAAATCTAAAACAAATTTCTTTCAGACATCTCGCAAAATTTCTACTACCTGCAGCAGACCAAGGATTTCAGAGCATAAGAAATATGCAGAGAGCTATGTGATATCTCTCAAAACTTCAAAAATTGTGAGGTGAGATGATACCTGGCCACTTGCAAGACATCTACCACATTCTCAGTGTTAAGCAGCCCCTGGTCGTAACTGTCAGTGCACACGCGCTTAAGGGCTGGAAGCCTGTAAGAGTGTGCAAGTACTAGCAAGTGGAGGGAAAACTCTTCCATGTCCTCCTGCTCACACCTATTCCACATTTATCACAAAATCAGTCAAGACCCTCCTTACACACATTACAAACTCTTGTCCACACCTCATTGTTGATGCCAAAATAAATGGATGTTTACCATCATTCTCGAGGATGCGGTGATCTTTAGAGAGGAACAAAGATAATCCAAGCAGCACAGACAGCTTAAAAGCATCAATAGCTCGAGGCATATCTAGAAATCGCGAGGCTTACATACCGAGAAGAGTACAAGAAGCGAAGGAAACATCGAACCGCTTGGAAGGGAACACCAAGGATACTGATTTCGGCAAGCCTTGACGTTTTGAATTGCTCCTGCAGTTGAAATTTAAGCACAGGAGACCTGCTCATCTACGCAAAGAAAAAACCACAGTGAAGAGATAGTCAAGTCTCCAGTTGCACGAAGGAGCCTGAATTCACAACCACGTTAGATCACAGTTAGACAAAGCTTACCAAGACTATTGAATGAGCGCCAAGTCGGTGTCCACCACTCGTGTAGACAGAAACATCAGTATTGATTTCTTCAAAAAACATTCTGTCCCAAGTGTCAATAATTGACTTGGGAATCGATATGGGACCACTTCTGTTATACTCTTGTGGGAGCTTCTTCAAAACAGAGGACAGTTTCACGAGCTGTCGACGAAACCTGGGTTTCAAGGAAGGTGAAGGCGGGGGAGCAGGTATGTTTCCAAGTTTTGTGCTCTTAGCAGCCGCAGACGATGACAACCGGCTCGATGACGAAACAGACGATCGCTGCTGCGAAGATAAGGATGAAAGACTGGATTGCTTCAATAGTCTTCTCTCACTTGACGACGAAGTTAAACTAGGATACTGAATTCTGCCTACAGAAGTCTCCTGAGGAGTGATTTCCTTTGGTGGAGATTGAATTGAATTGTAGTTTCTTGTCCTATCAGCTGACAAGCTACGGTATATGGATGGGGGTTGAGTCAATTGGTAGACTTGGGTCCGATCAGCTGACAAGCTACGGGACACAGGTGGAGGTTTGCTCTGAAACAACGATGCAGCTCTGAGCAGAGCAGCGTGAGCTTGTGATTGTGAATGGGGTTGTAGTGGAAGAGGCGGTCGTTCAGAAACGGAAACATTCTTCAGCGCCGGCGGGCCAGGGGAAGCCATAGCCTCCGACCCCGAGGGGTAAGGGTTATCAAGGTGCACCCAGAATCGCACTTGCTTCTCTCTGGCGGTGAGGATCATCGTTGCCACAACCGATTCTCACTTTGACCTGAGAACGAGAGAACAATTAAACCCAAATAGGATATCTACTCAGCTCAAGTAGAGAAATTATTGAGCAATTGAAAAGTGTAAGGATAAATACCACAGGATGACAGAACTTGGCTGTTGCATGCCTCGTAGCAACGACCACTGAGAACGCATAGACGCTACCTCCCATACTGTTTGAAACGACATGTGATGGTAAACAACTATCATCGCTACAAAGGCCTCAAATTAAACTTGAAGCAGAAGGAAGAAGAACACGAAGGAAGAAAGAAAATAAGATACTAAGATTTCACCCACAGCGTTACTTAGCTCTCCTTAGAAGGCATTCATAGCGTGCCTCCTGAGAATAAGTGGCATTGCCGTGGCTAATGCGCAGAGTTTGCGAAATTGGCCACGACGAGTTCAATCTCTTTCGACGCTTGTGTCAAACAGTCCAGTGCTCTTCAGAAAACCATTGAGGACTATTGGGTTCCGATCACAAGCGTCCATAGTTAAAACACTGAACAATTGTATTCGAAACACCAAAGCAACAAATTAGGCCGTGAGCTATAGGTACTAAACAAATCAACACAATGGGGGTGGGTATGTGATGAGGAAGCAAATGCCTGCTACTTCAGAAGCTGAGTCATGCTCGGTGCCAATCTCAGTGACTATTACCTTGCATGAAACCGGAACGAAGTCACCAGTAGAATTGATGGACATCCTGCAAGCTAAACTCGGGTACGGACAAATGTAGTGACAAACCTTTGAACGAAAACTCCCTGCTCAGTTATCAATGGTGAGCTTGTCTCTACATCGACTGTTTAATTGTGAGTAAAACACTCCTGCGTTTGTTCTCCAACCATTTTCGACAGTGCAGCTCGCAGATAAACTGAGTACAAAATCCCGAGAACAAGAAGCAGCGCTTTGGCGTGTTAAATGGAAAGTAACAACGTACACACGAAAAATCCCCTTCCTGTGCAACGTAAGATTCCCTCTCTTCGTCCTCTCATCCCACAATCTCCTCAGCCGCTCTACACCTCCTGATCAACTCATGCAAACCCAGCTGCCGCAACTCCACAAAATGGCATGCCTCTCCTCATCAAACTCCACTAGACCCCGACGCCGCCGGCCTCTTCTGCAGCTGTCGAGACGAGCGACCATCCCTCTCAGTCCATAACAAGGATCCCTAAGCACAAGCACCCTTGAGCTGCTGAATGGCGAATGACAGGCATCCGAATTGGACCTCCTCCAACCCTGATTCTAGACTTCCTGCTCCAAGTCTGCACCGTGAACAGTCCTCACCACGGTGGCACATTGCGAGGTTGCGACTTAGCGCCCAGTAGCAGCAGACACATGAATCAAAAAAGGCACACCCATGAATCGCACAAATCAATCAGCAGCGTCACACCTTCGGCAAGTATTAAACCCACCGATGCTGCCAAGGGAGAATCTATAATTAGACACAAACCGCCAGATGGAATCTATTTTCGCTCTTTTCTTACCCTCCTGGATAGAAAGGCGACTGTGAAAAGACGCCATGATTCAATTGCAGGGAATGGCATTGAGGGAAAAATACACTGAACTCCATATCTGGAATCATGACGATGCCAGGCGTGGGCGAATTACATTGGGTGGTCGCTAGCCATGGCAATCAATGGAGAGGGGAAAAGGAGTCGGGGAGAGAATTGTCACCATGCGCGGGCAGCGATCTCGTCACCGAAACTGTGCGGCGGCGGTAGCACGAGCGGGTTTGCGATGCGGCTCCTGCTTCGCGTTCCTCACCGTTGCGAGCGCGCGAACCGGACGGCGCATTGTCCACGTGTAACATCCCGCCACCTCGGCAGCATTCGTGTGCCACTTCATCGTGTGCTCGAATCACATCCAAAGTCCACGATACATGTACTGGATTCGATGCTTTGGTTTTTCTTTGAAACATTCATTCATTTCTATTAAAAAAAACAAATTTTAAGTGAGAGTATTTATATCTATCTATCTATATATATATATATATATATACATTTATATAAGTATACAAGTATTTACAAGGTGTTGCTAATGCCACCACAACTTTTGCTATAGCCACCACAACTTTTGCTATAGCCACCACATGTCATCACAATTTTTGTTCATGTCATCTATCATATGTTATCATAGTTTTTGTTAATGCCTCCACAAGCTCTCCTAAACTTGCATTGCACATCATGAGTCACTTTACGTAACATTATTAATCTACACCACAATGGGTATAATGCTTATTTTTTATAAATAAATAGTTAGTTTTCCATAAAATACATTGTGGTAAGAAATCTAAGTTTAGAGCAAATTGAGGTGGCATTAACAAAAACAATGGTTGCATGTGATGGATGGCAAGTTGTGGTGAGAGTATAAAAAACTATAATGGCATTAGCAACATTCTCTCCCTCTCTTTCTATATATATATATATATATATATAAGGAAATGTTAAATAGACACAAGTTTTATTAAATTAATCCACCCATTATGGAAAAAAAAGAAAAAAAGAAAAACATTAGATTAATTTCTTTACTATTAGATCTACAACCAATGAAAACCAACCACATTCATCATAATTACCATATTCTTCATCAAAGGTGGATCAATTTAGTAAAAATATGTATATATTTAATATTCCCTTTAAATATATTAAACTAATTTAGTTTAATTGTAAAGTGCTACAAAATTTAAAATAGAGGTTTTGTGTCATTTAAAAGAAAAATATAATAAATATATATACATACAAGAGTGGTTTGAATAGAAACATACTTTAAACTTTTTATCTTTAATATATAATATCATTTCACAACTATTATAACTTAATAATTAAATATCCAAAAAAATTATTGATAAAATATCTATCATAATAGAATAGTGTTAGTTTAATTAAAATAATATAATAAATAGTTATAAATTGGCTTTAGAAAAATGATAAAATTCCAAATTTTTATTTTTAATTCCATGTATAGTAGTTGTGACTCCTTGAAATATATCAATAAATAAACAAATAATTCATTGTTTATAAAAAATTCCAAATTCATAATGATATTTCAAACAGCTTATATATATGTGTATATATATATATATATATATATATATAGTCACTAAATTTTTTGCTACTACCATTACAACCCTCTGTCCACTTCATACTATCTTTATTCTAAACCATTTGATGGAACAATTTTTTTTATTAGAATATTAAAAAAATATAAAAAATATAAAAACAAAAGTAAGGAAGTATATCAAGTAGGTAGAAGCTTGTGGTGGTATTAGCAATACATTGTATATATACATACTTCATAAAATATTGTTGAAAATGTTGAATAACAAACCAAATTAAATAAATAAACAATCAACCATCTTCAAGCAAATATTTTTATTACAACATATTCAATAAATGCTCTTTGATGTACAAACATGAAACTTAAGTTGAACATAGTAGTGTTATCTAAAAATAATAAATGACCTCATATATATTTTAGAAATTTATATCTATAAATAAACATTAAATTTTTTGTATTAAAGTATTCCTCTTTTACAAATACTTGTCCAAAAAATTCTCTTAAATAGAAATGTTTGGCAAAACTATTCATCAAAGTATTGATTTATTTTTCTAACAAATTTACTGTTTTAATTCCTTTAGATTTTAATACATCATATTTTTGTAAAGACTAATGTCTTGGATCCTTGGACGAATATTTCATTATCATATTCAAACAAATACATATGAAATCAATTTTTTTATGTCAAACTTAATTCTTTTTATATAAGGCTACACAAATCAAGTGTAATTTTAAGTGTAAATTATCAACTGGTATTCTGAACTTGCTTCGTATTTAAAAAATAAAATAAAATATTTTCTGCATCTAATTACTAGATGCATAAATCACAAAAACCTGAACTACATTTGGATAAATCACATTTCAAATTAGTTGTAGTAGAATTGAAATACTTCACCCTTTTTGCTTTGATTTGTACATCCTATTTATGCCCACTAATGACAAGGATTGTTCTATTTCACACCCTCTCTAGAAAAATTGCCTCAAATTCAAAAGCAGGATATGGATTCTGGAAGCAAGGATGAAAATTTAGCGGACTTGGGTGATAATGAATGGAAAGTTTTTTTTGTTTTGTTTTGTTTTTTTTTTTTTTTTGCACTTCCTTGTTTCTAAAATGACAAAAATTACTGCATTTGGAAGTGTGGGCTGTATAATAGAGATTAGAGATAATGTGGTCATTTAGAGAGTAAGCAATCCAAATCTTACAACATTAATAATTTTATACGTTCAAAGTGGTCAAAATTACCGATAGTTTAGTACAGAGATCCATTGAAAAGATTCACACAGTTTGTATTTCATTTTATGATAATTACTTTCTTTTAACATAAATAAGTTATTCTTTATAAAAATCACGGCAATGATGAATACTACTGAAATGAAAAACAATGGTGATGTTAACTAGTTTTGAAAAAAAGTCTTTAAAAAACAAAATAGTAGTGATGTATTTCCCTTCATGATTACCTTAGTTTTTATCAATCCAGCACAAAACATTTACATTATTAACTTTTATATAAATTTTTATAAACATTGCTTTATTGTACATTGGTGTTCTTGCAGATTGAATACAGAACATCAATTATCAGTGAAAGAATGTCTTAAATTTTCAACAAGAATATTTTTGAGTGTGTTTATTAAACTTATTTTATGTTATATTTATATATACATTTAAATTATTTTGTCTATTCAAAAATTTTATGTATACTACAAGTATTGTTTTTACTTTATATGATCAATTTGTCTTAAAATATTCACATATATTTTTAATAGATTTTTGATAAAGATCTGAAACAAATATTTGTTGTAGGTTAGTTTTTACTAAATAAATAAATAAGGTATCACTAAATCTTTTTTTTTTTTTTTTTTTTTTTTTTTCAGAAATATGAAAAGAATCCATTACCAATCTAAAAAAAACATAAGTATATCATTTATTAATGAAATACATAGAATTTGTATGCTATTATGTAAGATATGACTATATAACTTGTTTATATATTCCTATGTATAAGCAAAAACTCAACAAAGAACTTGGTTTGCTTGCAGTGATGAACTTTGATTCTATTTAAATATTAGTTATTTTTGTATAGTTCTATTTGCCTTCACAAGTTCAACTTATTTATTATTGGCAATCTTTCATCAATATTTTGAAAAAATAGAAAAACATAAATAAATAATAATAATAACAATAAGTGATTATTTTATTAAAATAATTTAATTTAAAAATTAATAATTATTATAAAATATTTACCATGAAATTATATAAAACAACTTAGATATAATACAAAGAAACCAAGAAGTCTTTTAATTGGTTGTAAAAAAGAAACATGTAAAACTTATAGAATACGGAAACAAGAGAATATAAAAATAATGGAACATAAGAATGTGAGAATGTGGAAAAAAAGAAATATGTCATGTAATATGATATCAGATGCCAAATCTTGTCAAATATATGTAGTTTAGTTTGGTTAGTAGTTTTTCATCCATTAATAGTTTTTTGTTAAAAACTAGGATTTGGATACTTAGGTGGAGAAAAATCATTGATTTTATATTCTTGTCAAATTAAATCTTGTGAGTGATTTTTGAAAAAAAAGAACTTGTTGTAAGGTTTTGCTTAGATATGGTGATTTAGCCATTTTAGTAAAGCTTAGGATTTTTTCTATTTCCACACTTGTATTGTTGGATTCTCCTTCTATGGTATGAAAAATAGCTTGACTTAGTTTGGTATGGATTTTTAATCTTTCACTCAACAAAAATCTTTTTTTTTATTCAATTTATAGCATAGCAAGTTAAAATGAAGTAGATTAATATATATATATATATATATATATAATAAAGTAATATAAAATAATTATATAATTTTGATTTATTTTTGCTACTATGTTGGGCACCAAATCCCAGCTAGGCCAAATATTGCTATTTTGCAATAAGTATTAGAATACAACTATAGTATTGGATATTGCCAGAGTTATTATGCCTAAATATTTTATGGTATGGAAGTAGGATACTAAATAATACTATGCAAGACTTGGTTGCAATGCAAACAATAGTCTGCATTACCAAAGGAGTATATGTGAGCATATAGCAGTGTAGCATTAGGCAGGAGAGCATAAGGTTGTGATACTATCAAGTATTACAAAGTTCTAATGCATGGTCTAGGTGTAATATTAAGGTTTTAGTGCTTGAAATTTCACTATGTGAAGTTACAATTTGTTATTTGTTGTTATCATTTTTTGTTGCATTGTTCATTAGATGGTGCAATGCAATAATCCACTATAGCATATTAAGGTCGTTGGATGTAGTGTTGTATTATGTAAAGGCTTCTTTAAGAATGTACCGAGCACTTGGTTATAAAAAGTAGAAGAAGTATTGCAACAATAAGATTCTAATTTTAATAGAATCCTAATTAATTTTAATTAAATCTTAAAAATGCTAATCAAGCTTTAATCAATTCAAAGAAATCTCAAAGAAATTATGAAAGAAGCATGAAGAAAGCCTAAAGAAATTCAAAAGAAGTATTAAAATAAAATCTAAAATATATCTTAAATGAATTTCAA